ACGGAGCAGAACAGAGTAAGCTTCAGAATAAGCATCTGTAGTGGGACAGTGCGTCAGTTTTGAGTAAAGGGGTGTTTTCATTAATGTTCAGCATAGCTTTAAAATTCCCTGGCTTGGAATCAGCAGACTAGGAGTCATTAGTTCCATGATTTAGCATAACTCCCAGTATGCAAAATACACTCACTTCTTAATGAATAGCTCAGTCATAAATGCAATAAAGGCAAAAACAAAATAATCCTAGCTGAAGGCGAGAATTATTTGTGCACAGTCGTTGTTTCTTGGCCAAGCATGAGAAAACAGCTAACTACGGCGTATTTATAGTTTGTGTCCTTTGCACATTCTATTCTAAAATTTGAACACAAAGGATTGTGTATCACGGACTTAAGGTGACATCTAGAATTTATAAAGGAAGAACTCAAAATTGAGTACAGAGCTTATGTTCTTTACAAATCAACAATACTGGAAACTATTAAGTGATGTTCCCGAAGATGCCTGGAAATGCAGAATAGTTCTAGGGGGAGATGCAGGCTATTGAACCCAGGGCCTCACAGGCAACCGTGGGTGGTTCTGTTCCATTATGTACGCTAACGGAAGACCGTGGAAGACTGGAATACAACAATGTGATGGGCCGGTGCCGTAGTCACGGTGGGCAGGGCACTAGCCTGCACTCAGCCAACCTGGGTTCCACAACCAGTACTCCATACGGTCCCCGAAGCCACGTCAGGAACAATCTCTGAGCACTGCTGGAAATGGCTTAAAAAACGAGGGAAAAAGAATCGGAATGAAAGCTAGCAGAATTACTTCCTTAAAAGTCATTCCAGGCAGAAATGCCTTCTAGTCATTCTCTATTACTTTAAAAGGTTTTTTGGGTGGGGGTGGGGGGCTGGAGCGATAGCACAGCAGGTAGGGCCTTTGCCTTGTACGCTTTTTTTTTGCTTTTGGGGTCACACCCTGCGATGCTCAGGGGTTATCCTGGCTCTGCACTCAGGAATTACTTCTGGTGGTGCTCGGGGGACCATATGGGATGCTGGAAATCGAACCCAGGTCGGCGCGTGCAAAGCAAACGCCCTACCTGCTGTGTTATTGGTCCAGCCCCACAGTTTTTTTTTTTTTGACTCATTTCACTTAGCATGAGACTGACATCCAAGGACAGTAGACACATGGCCAGGAATATTGTCCCACAGTTGGAAGCCTGTCTCATGAGCTGGGGGGAGAAGGGCAGCTGGGATAGAGAAGGGATCACTAAGCCAATGATGGTTGGAGGAATCGTCCGGGATGGGAGATGTGTGCTGAAAGTAGATGAAGGACCAAATGCGACAGCCTCTCAGTATCTGTATTGCAAACCATAGTGCCCAAAAGAGAGAGTATGAGGAAAATTGTCTGCCATGGAGGCAGGGGGAGGGTGGGAAACGGGGGATACTGAGGAGATTGGTGGTGGGGAATGTGCACTGGTGGAGGGATGGGTGCTTGATCATTGTATGATCATTGTATGATTGTAACTCAAACATGAAAGCTTTTAACTATCTCACGGTGATTCAATAAAAGTTTTTAGGTGGAGGCTTCTCAAGCAGAGCTTGAGATTGGAGATTCTGTGCCAAGGATAAGGGCATGCAGCTGCTCAGGTGCCACCATGGTGTGTGGGGGGGGGGGAGGGGGCGGGGGGGTGTCTGTAAAGCACCCTGCAGCGTGCAGGAGGAGCTCGAGGCAGGACTCCTGACTTCGCGGTGCTGGCAGGGGAACGTGGGTTGGTTGCGTACTGCCGGTCCAATTCCTGGCCCCTCATGTCACTTTTGTTTGCTTTTGGCGACACCTGGTGGTGCTCAGGGGAACCCTATGTGGTGCTGGGGATGGAATAAGGATGGGCCGCACTCATAAGTACCTCAAACCCCTATGCCTTCTTTGCAGCTCTCCGGACCCTTCTTTGTGTTGTGCGATTACTCCGTTTTTATTCATGGTCTCTCTTGAATGATCTCATTCTCTGAAATTCCAGGTGGGACTAGATTTAGGAGAGGAGGGGGGGGAGGGGAGGGGAGGGGAGGGGAGGGGAGGGGAGGGTGAGGGGGGAGGGGGGGAGGGGAGGGGAGAGGGGGAGGGGGGAGGGGAGGGGGAGGGGAGAGGGAGAGGAGAGGAGAGGAGAGGAGAGGAGAGGAGAGGAGAGGAGAGGAGAGGGAGAGGAGAGGAGAGGAGAAGGAAGTCAAAGGCAATTGTGATGGGAAGAGCTGCGAATTTTAGTCATCTAATGAAGTCAGTACTTTGTTGTTGTTCTTCATGTAGTGAAAACATGTAAACCAAGCCTAAATATAAGCTCGTAAGTGAAGAAACCCAGAAAGAAAAAAAAAGTAAAAAAAAAACCCTGAAACTGGAAGGAATTCAGTTTATTCAGACAGTTCAAGTTCCAAAAGAATACTACTTACATATTAAATTCTTTGGTTTATGATGTTAGGTACTTTTGTAAGACCTTTTTATCTTAGAACCAAAACATAAACTTCTTGCCAGAAGAGAGGAAGGAAAAAACTCTCCCCCTCCCCATATTTTGTTTCAAAATGTAGGTTTTAAAATGTAACTGAGGGGCCTGAGTCAGAGGTGGGGCATTTGCCCTAGCACCCCTGACCAGTTTTCCACCCTCAGCATCCCTTACGGTCCCAGAGTATTGACAGGAGTAATTTGCAACTGCAAAGCCAGGAGTAACCCCTGAGCATTGCTGGCTAGGTACTTCCCCAACCCTTGCAGTGAAAGGAAAAAAGTAACAGAATATCTAAATATTCAAAGCTTCACTTTGTTTTCTTGCACTCAGGGACCACTTCCTGGTGATACCAGGAACTGAACTCAGGTTGATTATAAGCAAGGCGAGCTTCTTACTTGTGGTACTCTCTCTCTCCCACTCAAAGCTTCACTTAAAAAAAATTAACTCTTGAGACAATACTATCTAGACAATATTCACAGAATCTGAAAGCTGCTTAAAGTTACATATTAGAAAACTATTCTTTATATAATTTTTATAACTATAGCTAATATAACTAGTTTCGTATAAAACATTTTAAAGGACAAACCTGTTACATCTTTTCATAACCAAATGTGCATTAAATGTCATGGGAAAAGTCATTTTTTAAATAGTATTACTGCTTTCCTTTTAGTTTTTTTTTTAAATTTTGGGCCACACTCAGTGCTGTTTAAAGCTCAGCGCTTACTCCTAGCTCTGTGCTTAGCCGGCCATATGTGGTGCTGGGTCAGCTAAGTACCCTACAGCCCAACTCTAACTCTGGCCCAGCAATTCTGATCTTTGTCAACTACTTGCAAATAAGACAACTCCTGTCTGTCCTCCCCGTTGTTCATCAATGTGCTCCAGCAGGCATTAGAAATGTCTCACAACAAATTGTGAGACTTGTTGTTACTGGTTTTGGCATATTGAATACGTCATGGGGAGCTTGCCAGGCTTTACCATGCGGGTGAGATACTCTCAGTAGCTTGCTGGCTCTCTGAAAGGGGCAGAGGAATTGAACCCGGGTTGGCTGCATACAAGGCAAACGCCCTACCCGCTGTGCTATAGCTCCAGCCCAAGACAACTCCTAGGACAAAAAATGTTATCTATTTGGATGTTGCTTTTGGTTCTAAAATCTTCAAATTCCTCATTTCTTCCAGTTGCAGTTCTTTTACAGATGTTCTCTTTTTGAAGACTTATATGAAGATCTGGGCTATTATCAGAGAAGAACTCTAAGTATCCTGAATTCCATCCTATTCGTGACTACTGAGGGTTACTCCAGGAGTTTTGTGGGCTTTCTAAATGGGAAAATCACAATAAATTTGACTCTTTGATGGTCTATGCGAGATAGCATAAAAAGTTTGCTGACATAAGTTTTGCAAAAATACTAAAAGCTTTGCTACTTTTCAAGACTTAACCAAAGCAAATCTTGTCACCTCTTGGACTCAGTAGTGCCAGCCAGCCAGCCAGGAGGCACCTTCTGACTAGATCTTCAGGAGAACGGGAGAGACTGGCAGAGAGGCTGCACAACACTGCCTAAACGTACATTCGGTACTCCACAGAGATTATTACAGTGACTGTCATTTTTGTAGAGTGTTAAAAAGGAAAACACAATCTATATTTATAGGATTAAAATTCTGTATTTGGGGCAGTTAGCAAATTTCTGCTACCCTTAAAAAGTGAATAAACTCAAAAGACTAAAAACAAACAGAAAAGAATCAAACCAACTTGTACTTGCAGCCCATTATAAAAACTACTGAAGTACTATACAAATGCACAAGCTGAAGATATTCTTAAGAAAATGATCAAAATTGTGAAATACAAATTCAGAAAAAATGTTATCAAAAAGGTGCATAGAGGAAAACTAGTTAAATGTATTTTGATTTCCATATAATAAACTAAACTGCTTCAACAATAATAACTAAAAAACTCCTTAAAAAGTGCTGCAAACATGCAAACCAAATTCTCTAAGTATGACTTACAAGGAAAAATGAGAAATTATAAAAATTTGTCATGTTAGACACAAAATTATATTGGGTGAATAAAAGTATCAAATAATGAAGAAAAAACCTATTTCAACAAAATGGCACACTACTATAAACAATGTACTAAAAATACCAAAAAAATATTGTTTTAAATAATACTACTCTTTAACCTTATTAAACGCTACATCTACTTTAATTCTGTTAAAATAATAGAAAATATGTAATGTATGACTGTGACAGCAGTATTTAAATTTCTAACTATTGTAAATGTTTCTGGTGGTTAGATGAGTAGTAAAAATAGTTTAATAGTTCTCGTTACTGAAGCAACTCCATGATGTAATTATGGTATTTTGATGTCAAAACTGATGTCCTATTTTTATTGCATCAGATGATACACTGCTGCATTTAAACACTCTCTAAAGGGGTGTATGTTTGTATTTCCTACATTTACATGATCTTAAAATTTAAAGTGAAGTAAAAAACACTAGGAAAAATTTGTTTAATTTTTTTTTTATTCAGTAGATAGGAGACCATTTTCAATGTCCTGGCTGAAAGGATTCTTGTTGCCACGAAGCTGAAAGCAAAAAAAAATTAATAAATATGTGAAATAAGTTAATGATGCAGGCTCATGATCTACAATAAAGACCTGAACTGTGTTGGATCCTAGGAGGGCAGTTTGAATTGCATAGCTGCATTTTACTAAGTATGGGGCCTACAAAAGTTATTTTAAGCTCTCAAATGTGTTTTTTTTTCTCCCTAATCTGTAAAGAACAGTCTTACCTCTCCCGGGCATCTTGTGAAAAGTAAATAGAATGAAAGATGCAATGTGCCTGGCACCAGGGCTCACTCAACCCTTAGTCCCACTTGTGGGATAACTGAATACAAGCATCCTGAGCCAAGTGAATTTTCCCTCTTTAAGGATGTTAACATCTTTAGGAGTCTCCTTTGTGACCCCAGAGTTCCCCGTTTTGCTGTATTTATGAACACAGCAATTTCGAGTTCCTTCTGCGTACTATAAAAACAAGACAATTGCTTCTTTTTTTCTGCTTAACATAACCAAGGAAGTAAAAATAAAAAGTTGTGACCCAGAGCTATCCTTTTTAAGCATCATAAACTCAATTATTCTATACAACACAGGCAAGTTCACATGGTAAGAGTGTGTGCATCTGTATGTGACCAAAGTCAGAAAAGATTTTGAGAAGAAAGAAGGGGAGAGTGCAGCAAGCCCCCCTGGATAAACAACAGCCTTAGTACTGCTGAGCAATCATACATCGGGGAGTGAGTAGGGTGCTTTGCCTTGCAAGCAGCTGACCAGGTTTCAATCCCCAGCATCCCACAGGGTCCTCTGGGCTCCACCAGGTGTGATCCCTGAGTGCTGAGCCAGGAGTAAGCGCTAAGCACCACTGAACAGGACAATCCCCAAACAAAACAAAAAAACAAAACAAAACAAAAGACAGGTGGTTTTCTAAGCAGTATTCCCTATGCAAAAAAAATTATTTTTTATTGAGGGGAAAAATTTTTTTTTAGGGGGATGGTTTGGAAAATACCAGTGATGCTCAGGGCTTACTCCTCAATCTATGCTCAGGTTATCACTCCTGGCTAAAATATCTTCTTAAATTCATGGCTGTGACGCACTTACTCTGCTTGGTGTGCTTTTATTACTGGAGCTTTACGAAACAAACAGCAGTGTATCAGATGAATCAAAACGGAGTAGAGTCATTCGCTCCCACCCGCCCTTACTCTTCTCTTATCCCACCTTCAAAGTTTTTCTTCAAATTCTGTTTTCAGATGAGTCCTAACCCCTGCACTCTCTCTGAGGGCCGGGAGAAGGGGAATGGGTTTGGGTCACACCCGTAGGCCATGGCCCATCCGTGCAGTCCAAGTAATGCTGGGCGTGGTCCCCAAGCCTCTGAGCACCGCTGGGAGGCCCCATCCCAAGAAAAAGACTGTTACTAACTGAAGTTACTTTGTCCATCTACGGTTTAACTTTTTCCCCCTCTCCATTTAGCAAGAAATGTAGAAATTATCAGGAAAACTCCAGAATCCTAAATAGTTTTCGCTCAAGGGCATCATTTAAAATGTTTTGCATTTCCTTCACCACCACCACCCCCCCCCCCCCCCCCCACCACCACCCAGGGCCACACCAGGCAGTGTTCAGGGCTTACTCCTGGCTCTATGCTCAGGAATCACTCCAGGGGGACCATGTATGATGCTGGGAATAGAACCCAGGTTGGCCACATGCAAGGTGGCCTTACCAGCCCTACTCTTTCTCCAAAGAATTTCATTTCAGTATTTGTATGCTTTTTAAATTTTTACGTAGGTAAATTTATGACAGTTGTTTTTTTGTGGGGGGGTCACACACACAGCAGTGCTCAGCTTACTCATAGCTGTACTGATCATCTGGGGTGCCTAAGATTGAGCCTGGACATCTACACAATGCATACTATGCAGCTGTTAGGAGAGATGAAGTCATGAAATTTGCTTATAAGTGGACAGACGACAGACATGGAGAGTATCATGCTAAGTGAAATGAGTCAGAGACAGACAGACATAGGAGGACTGCCCTCATTTGTGGAGTATAAAATAACATAACACGAGACCAACACGCAAGGGTAGTAGCTATAAGGGTCAGGAAGATTGCTCCATAGTTGGAAGCCTGTCTCATGAGTGGGTGGGGAGAAGAGAACTGGAATAGAGAAGGGATCACTAAGAAAATGATGGCTGTCTGATAAGGGATTAATATCCGGGATATACAAGACACTAGTAGAACTGCACAAGAAAACACCTCCAACCCATCAAAAAATGGGGAGAAGAAATGACAGAAGTTTCCTTAAAAAAGACATACAAATGGACAAGAGGCACACAAAAAAATGCTCCACGTAGCTAGCCATCATGGTCACGGTCCTCTTGTTGTTCAACGATTTGCTCGAGCGGGCCCGGTAATGTCTCCATCATGAGACTTGTTGTTACTGTGTTTGGCATATCGAATACGTCACGGGGAGCTTGCCAGGCTCTGCCGTGCGGGCGAGATACTCTCGGTAGCTTGCCGGGCTCTCCGAGAGGGGCGGAGGAATCGAACTCGGGTCGGCCATGTTGGCCGCTTGTAAGGCAAACGCCCTACCACTGTGCTATTGCTCCAGCCCCAGCTAGCCATTAGGGAGATGCAAATCAAAACAACGAGATATCATCTCACATCACAGAGACTGGCACACATTCAAAAGAACAAAAGCAACCAGTGCTGGCATGGATGTGGGGAAAAACGGACACTCTTTTACTGTTGGTGGGAATGCCCACTTAGTTCACCCTTTCTGGAAAACAATATAGACAGTCCTTCAAAAACTAGAAATTGAGCTTCCGTATGACCCCACAATACCACTTCTGGGAATATATCCCGAGGATGCAAAAAAACACAGTAGAAATGACATCTGCACCTATATGTCTATTGAAACACTGCTCACAATAGCCAAAATCTGGAAACAACTCAAGTGCCCTAGAACAGATGACTTGTTAAAGAAACTTTGGTACATCTACACAATGAAATACTATGCAGCTTTCAAGAGAGATGAAGTCATGAACTTTGCTTATAAATGGATAGACATGAAGAGTATCATGCTAAGTAAATGAGTCAGAAAGAGAGGGACAGACATAGAAGGACTGCACTCATTTGTGGAGTATAAAACAACATAACATGAGGCTGACACCTAAGGATAGTAGATACATGGGGCAGATAGATTGCTCCATAGCTGGAAGCCTGCCTCATGAGCAAAGGGGAGAAGGCAGCTGGAATAGAGAAGGGATCGCTAAGAAAAAGATGGCTGGAGGAATCGGTCAGGATGGGAGAGGTGTGCAGAAAGTAGATAGAGGACCAAACATGAAGACCTCTCAGTATCTGCATTGTAAACCATAATGCCTAAAAGTAGAGAGAGTATGGGGAATATTGTCTGAGACGGAGGCAGAGGGAGGGTGGAAAAGGGGGGGGCATACCGGGGAGATTGGTGGTGGGGAATGTGCACTGGTGGAGGAATGGGGGTTTGATCACTGTGTGATTGTAACCCAAACATGAAAGCTTGTAACTACATCTCACAGTGAATCAATAAAATAAAAAAAAAGATTGGACCTGGGTTGGCCATATGCAATGCAAGTGCCCTACCTGCTGTACTAAAACTGCAGGCAGTTTTAGAAACTATTATTAAGAACTCTTATAAAATGATACAGCTTTAAAACGGCTGTATCATAAGGAATGGCTTCATTATAGTTTAAAATTTTAGTCAATCATTCCTCAGGTTGTGTTTTACTCAAAGACATTATGATTTAACATTACCATGAAATTTTTTTTTGATAACTAGAGGTTTACCTGACATGCTTCAATTCTGCCTAATACTTAAACAATTATACATATCTGTAAACAAAAATGACCTACACAGAGCATCACTTACAAATCTACTTTCCTAAATGTACAAAGAAAACTCTCAACGAAGGGAGCATGAAAGCTTGTGGCACTCACCGTAAGCCCTAGGAACTTCCGGAAGCACACCTGAATTAGGAAGGTAGGAATAGGAAGCTTGTGGTAATGGCTGATGGAACTGATACTGTGTGAAAGCCGGCTGCTGGAAGTGGTAAACAGGCATCTGTGATCGAAAATATCCAGTCACTGGCACAAAGTCATTTGCGTGCGGCTCGCCGGGAACGTAACTGAAGTACTGAGAATACGAAAGATCAGCACGCGTGCTCTGGATGCCCACGACAGTGTCCAGCACCACCGGAGACGGCTGGACGTCATAGGCTGTGACTCCCTGGTATGTGTGGGTAATGGAATGGCCACTGACGCTGCTGTAATGATAAACACACCACGTGTAGTAAGGGTAGGAAACCGCCAATGAACTTTCAGAAGAATGATATGCTAGGGGTCGGGAGGACGGCGGGGGGTCACTCCAGGATGGGGTCGCGTCCCGAGTCGGGACTTTCGGATTGTCATCAGCCCCTGGCCTGGAAAGAGAACATTCTGAATTGCGATTCCCATTCAGCATCCCACTCCCAGATGCTCGGAGAGGTCGAGCACTAGGATTCGACATATCCGCCGGGAATTTAGCCTTCGGTTCAGTTTCTCTCTGTTGTGTCTCATTTATTTGCAGAACAGGATTTGTGCTCTGGATAAATACAGTCTCTGGAGAAGGGCTGCACGATGAGTTTTTAACAGATGAATCCATTAGTTCACTATCTGGAAGTTCACAGACAGCTTCATCTATTTCAAAATTGGCATGGATATCCCTCACAAAACGGAAGACAGGCTTCGAGAGAACTGAGGTGGCGGGCACACGTGGAGGGCCAGCTCCTGACCGTGTGTCGGAGGGAGAGGGCTGCTCTGCAGAACCCGGAGAATTCTTTGAAATTTTCCGTGAAGTTGTCTTGTGATCTATAGAAAAGGTGCCATCTACACATTTTTGGTCACGAATTGTGAAAGCGGAATGATCTCTCTTAGCATTTTTTATTCCAGCAGCCCCGAGATTCACATCTGTTTCCTTCCGGTGATCTCCCTCTTGTCCAGTCAAAGTTTCTGAAGCACCAACTGCAGCGTCAGCGTTGACCTCTGACTTTGGTGGGCAACTGCCTTTTACACGTTCTAACTGTGAATGCGAGTCAGGCAGGGATCTCTGTGTCTCAGCCTTTTTGGGAGACATGAGATCTCTTCTCAGATCGTCAGATGAGCTTGGTCCTGCTTCATTCTCGTCTCTGGGGTGAGATCTTACAGCCCTACTAAGCATAACACACATATACAGTCATGAAATGTTAATATCAACTCTGAAATTTGTATATGGAAGAGAGTCTTTTTGGGCAGGCGGTTGGGAAGGGTTTGAGCTACATCCAGCCTGGCTCAGAGCTTAGTCTTCGCTCTGTGCTCAGGGACTGCTCCTAGTGGGGCTCTGGAAACCACATGGGATTTTGGGAATCAAACCTGGGTTAGTAGTGGGCAGGGAAAGCACTTGACCTTGCTGGCCCCAGGACAGAGTTCTTAAAATGGATATAAATTCTTTTCTATTGAAAATATATGAACAAAAGACACATTTTCCTCATTTCACTCCCTTGGTTTGAATTTAGTCCCTTTTCCTGATGAAGGAAAATATATACATATTTCAAAAATGTTTCTGATGTCTTAATATTAGACTATGGACATTTCTTGATGCAGGAAACGAACAGGATCCAATTCTTTTAGTATCATTTACCTCTAACCCATCGACACTTTTTTTTTTACCTAGAAATCTGTGTCGCATTTCCATTTTTCTCAAGCAATCTTCTGTTATCAAAAAACGATAAAATATTTTTTCTGCCTAACCTCAAAACTGGGTGGAGAGAGTGCTCAGTGGCTGGAGAACGTCATGCTTCTCAAGCGCATGGTTCCCCGGGCACCAGAGGAACAACCCTGAACTCTGAAGTGTGAATGGCCCCTGAGAAACACTGGGGGTTGCTCCAAATAAAAAATACTCAAATTTTTAAAAAAAGGGGGAGAATCAGACCTCCAAAAGTTTGATATTTTACTGGATCCAACTTCCATCTCAAGCACTTAAAAGGCAACCTACATCGTAATTCAAACTCAGATAATACTTGGATAGTATCTAGAAAGTACAATCTTGACTATCACGTTTTCTCTGTTTCAGTAATGGTTTGGCCTTAACACCTGACAGCGTCTGTACAGGCTATTATGCACTCCTTGAGGACATCATTCCATGAAGATGGCACACTACAAATTATATTAATTTTTTTGCTAAGGATCATTTATTTTTTGGTTTCACCTGTAAGGAACAGTTTAGTTCTTTAAGTAGCAAATACCAGCTATAATTGCCCAAAACTAAGGTAATTACAGAACTTGTTTTTTGAGCCACACTGGTGGTGATCTGGGCTATTTCCTGGCACTATGTTCAGGAGTCGCTCCTAACAGGATTTTGGATTGAACGTGGGAATTCGGCATACAAAGAATGTGTATGAGGCCTCTGAATTATCTCCCTGGTTCCTGGTTCCCTGGCTCATGTTATACAAAAAACGGTTCATTTTTATGCCACTATATACCTTTTCAAGACACATATTCCAGAAAAAAAGTATTCTACAAATTTGGTAAATAAGACACTGCATTTGACGACTAGAGAGAGAGAGTACAGGATAGGGCGCCTGCCTTGAATGTGGCTGACCTGAGTTCGATCCCTGGAACCCCACATGGTCTCCTGCACACTGCTAGAAGTGACTCGAGCACAGAGCCAGATGTCTTGAGAACAGCTGGGTGTGCAAGCCCCTCCTCACAAACGCATCTGGAGCCAGAGAAATGGACTGGCGTGCTGAGCACATTCATTGCGTGTAGGCCCAGTGTTCAGGCTTGGTCTGGCGGGTTCCCCTCCAAACATGCCCCCTAGAGACGAGGGATGCTAAGGATGTGGTCCAGCTCAAAGGCACAAAGCCCTGAGTTCAATCTCTAGTTTCATGCAAAAAGGAAAAAAAAATTTTATTAAAAGATCAAACCCAAAAAAGAAAGGAATGGGAATGTTTATCTTCTTCTTTCGTTTTGTTTTTGGACCACACTTAGCAATGCTCAAGGGTTACTCCTGGCTTTGCACTCAGAGATCACTCCTGGCGGTGAGTGGGGGGACCACCTGGGATGCTGGGATGGAACTCAGGTTGACAAGTGCCCTATCCCCTGTACCACTGCTCTGGCCCCCCTGGCGGAATGTTTATCGTTGTATTCTACTTCACAGAAAGAAAAAGAGATGAACTAGTGATCTGCAAAATCTTACTGACTTGAATGAAACAAGATGGTCAACAAATCTAGTAATGCCACTTTGTGTCAGCAAAAAATTATATATAATTTTGTGAGTTTTTCCACACAAGTAATTTGGCTGAGAGGATGTCTTTTTTGAGATCATTTTGCTGTTTTGTGGTTCTGGTTTTTTGTGAGACACTGATATGCACGTGTATATGTGCCTGTGACAAAGTTCCCAATCAGTAGTAACTGGTGGAAATTTATAGATCTTAAACCAATTTTGAAATACGGCTGGTTTGTGAAGTTCACAAATGAAAAAGTGCCAATCTAATCACTTGGCTTATTCTTTTATGTCCTTGTAGGGGGGGGGGGGTTGCTTGGGGGGGGGGCATAGCCTGCAGCGCCCAAGGGCCACTCCTGGTTCTGTGCTCAGGAGTGACCTCTGGCCATGCTTGAGAGGCCATATGTGGAATTCAAAGCAGGAATGGTGTGTGCAAGACCAATTAACTTCCGTACAGATCTTTCTGACCCCTCTTGTACATCCTTCAAGCAAACGTGTCAAGGAATTCCATCAATTCATAAAAAAATGCTAGTCAAATAGGAATTTTACTTTTTCTGTAAACACTCTTCTAAGTGCCTGCGGCTGATCTGCAACTATGAGTATACTCAAATTCACTGAAAAACTACACTTCACGGGACATAAATCTTGAATACTTTAGGGAATGAAGTTCAAATTCCTTAAGCCTCACATAATAAACTGTATAAACAACTTTCTTTTCTTCTTTCTTAGCTCACTCTTATTTTTAAGTTTCATGCACAATTCAACAATTAAAAATATAAAAAATACTCTTGCTTCTTAATATGTGTTCATTTTTGTTTAGTTTTCTTGAGAGTGCACTGGTTTGAACTCCTACCTTGGAAGTTCGAGTATTGTCTTTTCTTTGCTGATTTTTGGAACGTCTTCCATGCCAATCTGTTTGCAAGATAAAAGAAAACAGAACTGTGGTTTAAACAATGATGGAAATAATTTTTATTTTAATATTAGATATTTGCATTTTTGTTCCAGAATTATCTAATGTGTACTGTTTAAAAATATATTTGGGGCTGGAGTGATAGCACAGAGGGTAGGGCGTTCGCCTTGCACACGGCCAACTGAGGTTCAATTCCCAGCATCTGATATGGTCCCCTAAGCACCGCCAGGAGTAACCCCTGTGCATTGCCAGGTGTGACCCAAAAAGAAAAATAAGATATACATATATTCATTAATGGTTGCCTTAAAAAACAATTTATGGGGGCTGGAGTGATAGCACACCGGGTAGGGCGTTTGCCTTGCACGCAGTCAACCCGGGTTCAATTCCCAGCATCCTATATGGTCCCCTGAGCACCGCCAGGAGTCATTCCTTAGTGCAGAACCAGGAGTAACCCCTGAGCATTGCCGGGTGTGACCCAAAAAGCAAAAAAAAAAACCAATTTATGGAAAATCCAATAAATATCAAACTTTCCATATTAATGAAATAAACTCATACAAAATTAACATTGTATCCTGATATTTTATAACTAATCTTGGAGTACATTTAGATGGTTACAATTTTTGTACCCTTTACAGTAATCCAGTAACTAAGCACCAGTATATTTAGTGATCATCAAACGTGGAATTTCCACCTCCTTTTTTTCTACACTGTGAATGACTACATCTAACTATACATATAATCTCCATGCTTCCAGTAACTGGGAAAATTTTTTTTCCATAGGACACTACCCTTTCAATAAGCACTATACAAAATTCCAACTTGTTGGGCTAATATTTAAGACATTCTGTAATTTCCCCCCATTTTTTTGGTGGTGCCCGGGACTGAAACTGGTTCTTGCACACATACAAGCATGTGTTCTTCTGAGTCATACCCCTGGCAGGACATACTTTATTTTTATTGAATCACTGTGAGGTAGAGTTACAAAGGTTTCATGGTTGGGTTTCAGTCATACAATGTTCCAACACCCAACCCCCCATCAGTGTACATTTCCCACCAATGTCCCCTCTCCCCCTGCCACTGCGCCCACTCCCATTACGGTCTGAAGTACATACACTGAGAGGCCATCATCTTCACCCATTTGCAGCACACATCTCCCACCCACAACCATCCCTTCCAACCAACCATCACTGTCTCATTGTCATCATGGTCCCTTCTCTATCCCAACTGCCCTCTCCCCCAGGCTTCCAACTGTGGACCATTGTTTCTACTGTCTTTGGGTGTTGGTCTCATACTGTGTTATTTTATATCCTACAAATGAGTGCAGTCATTCTATGTCTGTTCTCCTTCTGAGTTATTTCACTCAGCATGATTCTCCCCAGGTGGAAGGACATGCTTTAACTGAGCACAATGTCCTTCTGTACCTGAACTTACTGCACTAAGTTAAAATTTCTGTTCCTGGCTTAACTTTAAACTCATTTTTCAAATAGTGTTTGAGAAGTACGTGGGCACTATAGTTTCACGCAGAGTATTTTGCTGACTGTACTCTTTCCAGTTTTCCCTTCAGTCTGGTGCTATGAAATCAATACATAAGTCTTTAACAACAACCTTTCTTTTTTTTCTCTTCTGTATACAAACAGCACTACTGAAGCATCACATCATTTTACTCTGCTTATACTTGTGTTTTTGGGCCACACCCAATGGTGCTCAGGGCTTACTCCTAGCTCTGCACGCAGGAGTCACTCCTAGCAGTGCTCAGGGAACTGTGTGGGATACCGGGGATTAAACCCAGGACGGCCATGTGCAAAGCAAGTGCCTTCCCTGGTGTGCAATCTCCCCACTTTACTTTTGATGGATGTCCGTGACTTGTAATTTGTTGTATTCTGAAATATGCTTATAGATTGCTTGCTTAGACTCCTCATCTCTAGAACTAAGGTAACTATGAAATACAATTCAAATGAGCTGAGAAAGATTCATTCTCATTGTGTACACAAATTTCTATTACTCCCCTGTAGGATAACTGTAGGATGACATTGGTTTTCCCTTCCTCATTGGCTGCTGGGATTATGTCTGATTGCCCCTCACCTGCCAATTACCTTTGTCCCTGATCAGACCCTGACTTGTAAATATTGTTTCTCTTCTGCTTACTGTCCTTTGCATGGTGAGCTATTTCAGAGCAGTTGCTTTTTGTATGGACACAAGAACAGTTAAAAAGACAAGCCTGTGGCTTGGTAATTGACTCCAGATAATAGACCTCCTGGACATCTGTTCTCTCAACTTAAGCCTCAGTTGCCCTTAATTCCTAGATCCCCAAAAGCAGGGTCCCGACGAGGGACTGGATGGACCCAGGGCAAGCGGTGAGCTATGAGCTACCCTGACATCAAAATGGGCCTGACCAAAGTGCCCTAATGCTGGACTGTAAGCTAAGAGCTTGGTCATGGAAAAATTCTGTCATGATCCAAAAGTAATATTGAGATTCGGACCCTGCTGGGGTTAGGAATGATTAATCTGACCTGAGCACTATAGTCAGAGTGAGTCAGTGGGGAGATGTCCCCAGGAGAGTCACCCTACAAGCCTAAAAGTGTCTATTACTGTGTCCATACAGAATGGCAAATATTAGAAAGGAGAATTAAAGATGTTAAGTTGCAGGTCTAAAGAGAGGAGAAACACACCTTAAGGGCTGTTTTGCTCTTGTGGGCTGCAGGTGGTCGGGGAGACTGGGAAAACATTTTTGATCATGCTTCCCGTGGGGAGGCGTGGTTGGGGAGGTGTGGGGGGAGGATGAAAAAGAGCAGCTGCGGGGAGGAAGGGGGGATTGAAGGTGAAGGAGGGATAGTGGAGACAGAGATAGAGGAGACAGATACAGCACACAGAAAGGATTTACAGGGAGACAGATGGTTACAGGGAGGAGAGATGGTTACAGAGACACAGAGAGAGACAGAAAGAGGAGTAGATTGAGACAGTTCAAGGAAGACACAGAGACAGAAAGAGAGAAGAGGAGAAAGAGTTGGAGAAGGCTGAGAGGAGAGTAAGAATGGCTGGGGAGGTTGGAGAGGAGTCAAGATCACGGTCCTCCCGTTGTTCATCAATTTGTGCGAGCGGGCTCAGTAACACTGTGAGACTTGTTACTGTGTTTGGCATATAGAATACATCACAGGTGGCTTGCCTGGCTTTGCTGTATGGGTAAAATACTCTCAGTAGCTTGCCGGGCTCTCCGAGAGGGGCGGACAAATCAAACTCGGGCCAGCCTTGTTGGCTGCGTGCAAGGCAAACGCCCTACCCATTGTGCTATCGCTCCAGCCCGGAGAGCACTGTAGAGCAAGAGAGAGAATTGGAGAGTGCTGGGAGAGGCGAGACTGAATAAATGGCAACTAATCACCAACCAGCTTGGCCCTCGTTCTTCCTTCATCCCTCCAAGACAACAGCTGCCCCGGGTGGAGAAGCGGCTCGAGAGCACAGGACATGGGTGGCAAGAGAGAGCCTCCCAGAGAGCCCGAGAACATCAGTTAACATATAATCCCCGTGCGAGTGGGGTTTCCACAGCCCGAGTGTGAGGGGTTTTTCCACACCCTCACTAAAAACCCCTCCCAGTTTTAAGCACAGTCCCTGAGACAAGAGTGGAGGTGATTGCTAAACAGGTCCTGTGGCCTTAAGAAACGGTATTTAACCTTCCCTCACTTGTTTCCATAGTTCAAATACAGAACAAACATACATGATAAGGATTTCAAGACGAACGAAAGGTTAACATTTACACTACACAACTGCTATATAAAAACTGTTAAATAAGACGTGTTTCTGTAGGACTACTTTTAACTCCTCCATTTTCATCTTTTTTTTTTTTAATGGAGGCACCAAGGCAACAGTGCCTGGTATTAGTGTTGGGGTCCCGTCACCGCACCAAGCCATGCCATACCTCACACCCCACCCTCTCATCACCTGGTTTGAAGAATGACCCTGAGTCTGTTTTTACTGGCTCAGCATCATCTCTTTACAAATGCCTGCCTGGGTTAGGGATGCACTGAGTGGTAGAGTGCCGACTTCTCTTGGGTTCCATTCATTACACCGCAAAACTGAAAGTACCTGTCTTATTTCCTTATGGAAGAGACACTCCACTAACCACCTTTTAATATTCACTAGATTGGACAGAGCTGTTACACAGAAGCTACTCAGTACAATACTCCCTTATTCATATTCATTCCACTGGATTTTCTTGTAAAATGTGGTGACACGTAAGATTCGAAGTTATAGAATATAAACTCTAAAAACAAGTATCTGCAAGGCATCACATATTTAGAAGCATTTACGGAATTTGATATTAACTGTAAATTCCAAAATGTGCTACTAAATACACTTCTTTCTTTTTGGGTCACACCCGGCGATGCACAGGGGTTACTCCTGGCTCTGTACTCAGGAATGACTCCTGGAGGTGCTCAAGGGACCATATGGGATGCTGGGAATCAAACCTGGGTCAGCCGTGTGCCGTGCTATCACTCCAGCCCATTAAGTACACTTCTAAGGTTAAGTATACACTTATTTCTTTTAGTTTTGGAGTCACACCTAGGTAGGGTCACCCCTGGTGGTGCTCAGAGAACCATGTGGTGCTGGGCTGAAACTAGGCCTCCTCATGCACACACTCTAGTCTTTGGGTTTATCTCCTTGGACTCACAGTTATACTGTGAGTATGACTTACTCAATTTTCCTAAGTCTGCAAATTACACGTTTACTTAAAAAGGTTTGTATTCAGAAAGAGAAGTTTTTTTTAAAAAAACATTTGTTACCTTTTGTTTTTTGCAACTGGAAACAGCAGCATTTCTCTCTTGTTCCCGAGAGTCTTCACATTTGTCGGCAGGGAGAGGTCGTTTTTTAGAAGAATTTGGAATGTTTTTTACAATGCATTCTGAAATAGAGGGGACCATCATACAAGTGCTAGGTTTATCAATACTCTTATCAAGTTTTATAGGAATGTATGGTTTTTCTTTTTTCGTATGCTGTAATGTTTTCCTTCTGTTACGAATCATTTGGCATAAGATAAAAGAAATGGTTAGTGTATCCTTTTTAGCACATATGATTTTCATATGTTCAATGGTTTTCATAACCTTTGTTATATGGGCCATTTTACCCAAGTCTTTCCTATGGGCAGTCATTATATTTTTAAGCAGTGTAGAAAACTGATTGTAGTTATATTCTAACTCGGTCATTGTGTTTCCATAATTTATGGATGCAATATACGGCACAAAGTTAATGTAAGTGGGAACGGAATACAGAGACTTCTTTAGAAGTTTTTTTATTTCTTCAAGCTCTTCAAGTTCTCTTGAGTACAACCGAAGAGCATACGAGGAATTAACAGCATTGTTATAGTTGAGAATAATATCCAGTTCTTTATTAAGTGCAGAAGTAGTTGTCTCTATCACTTTCTCAAGACACTCTGTTGCATTTTCTCTAAGAAACGAAAAAGCTGTCATTTTTTCTTGGCAGACAATCAGCTCTGGAACAAGTGACAAATCAAACCAAAGCATACTGCGAAACCTCTGTTTGTCTTGTTTCTTTGCCACTGAGTTCTTAAGGAAGTGAACGGTTTCTGAGAGCATAACAATTTCAATGTAAGTTTCAATAGCTTCAGGTTTTAAAATGACAGCCCCATGTTTCTGATTTTTCAGCATATCTAGGACATTTTCTTCGGTGATAAAAACATCATCTATGCTGTCTTCTTGCTGCATCTGAAAGTATTTCTTTAAAATGTCTAAGTGTTCAGTACATCTCAAAATAAGTTCCTGTAATTTTTTCAAGTCTGCAAATTCAGCCTGGTCAATTATTTCACTAATATGACAGATATCCAGGTGTGGAAGCACAGTACTGTTAAGTGCATAATTTCCTGCACTAATTGTTGCTTTATTTATTAGATTATCTGGCTTTCTGGAAGTAATCATAGTACTCTCCTCAAAGTCATTATTGGAAATTTGCTCACTCTTTAAGTCTTTCGACAATGTATCATATAGCTTCTGCAATTTAGAAAAAGAATTCTGATTCATTTCAAGTAGCATTTCTCTTTTTTTCTTTCCCGAATATATTTTGCTAAAAATTTTCTTCTTCTCCTTCCAAACAAGACTTTTTGCAGCATCAAAGAAGATATGTTCCAGACCATAAAGAGATACTTTAATGCCTTCTGCCTCATTGCTCTTGATAAAATTTATTTTTGAGGAGACCATTTCTATGATAATCCACAGATGGTCTTGTTTTTCTGGATAGGCATCATTTTTAGGAGTCTCTTCTCTGTAACTACTGATCACCTTTAAGGTACTCTTTCGTAAGGTTTCCAAGTCTCCCAAATCATCTCCAAAGTTAACTCCACAGGTAAATGGCACAGAAAGACAAAAGTCAAAGCAATCCGAGCAATGTTTCATTATTGCTTCACACTCATCAATCTGCCGTTTGTATTTTAACAGTGTGTAGTACGATTTGTTTTCCCTTTTGGTTTCTTCAAACAAATCAAGTAATTGGTTATGGTAGCGTTGCAGCTCACAGAATGCATTGTATTTTAACCTCCCTTGAAAAGCTGGATAGAAACTGGATTGTTGTTGAAATCCACGTGGCCTGCCAAGGAGCTCACTGTACAATGTCTCATCATACCAAAGCAAGCTTCGGAATGTTGGTTCACCTTGTAAGAGCCTTTTTTTGTTTTCAATGAATTGAATAGTTTCCATCATCATTTGGAGTTCTGTCAAGGAGTCAACAGCACATGGTTTCAATTTGTGCTTGCAATTATTCCACTGCTTCTGTTCTAATAGTTCTCTGGAAATCAGTACTTGTTCAAGTGAACATTCCTGCACTCGTTCAAAAGCTTCAACAAAGGGCGGGAGAATGTTTTGACAAATCTTGGTTTGTTCCTGTAGAATCTGTAAAGATGATGCTTCATCTGCCCTCCTTAAAATCTGAGTTAGACTACTTATAAGAGTTGAGCAATCAGCTGAGGACTGCTTTTCTTTTAATTCATTCACGTGTGATTTATTCTTCTTCTGAAGAATAGTGACTTTGGAGGTTTCAGAGGTGGCATGGGAATCAGCCATGTGATTCATCCTCCTAATATCTGGTTTGGAACTGGAGGCGGTTTCTGAATGCAATGAAGACCCAGACTTAGAGTTATTGCTAACTCTGATTTCCTCAACTTTGTCTCTTTGGTTAAGCTGATTAGAAACTGTGCTATTCAAAGAGACTGCATCGGAAATTTTTTCAGTGCTCAGAGAAAAATCCATCAAGTTATTTTTAGTTATTTTTTCTCCTGTGGAGGAAAATTCTTCTAAGATGTTTCTCTTTTGATCTTTGTTCCCAGTTTGAGCAGGTGATAGACCCATCATGCTTTTTCTGTGAACCGAATCTTTTGCTTCTTCTGTTTGCTTAAATTTGCACATTTTTATGTCCTGAATGTCTTTCTTTGCAATACAGTTTTTAGAAACACAATCCTTTATATTATTTTTTAAGAGCAGGGATCTACCATTGGAAATTATATTTCCCCCACAACTTTTACTTTCTTTAGTTACTAAGGTGCACTCCAACTTGCAATTCTCAGTAACATTTGTTTTGTTGTAATTTAAACAGATGCAATTACTTAAGGAGGGCACTTTTGTTTTCAGAAGCTCCTTTTTACTATCTCCTCGATGACAGGATGGTACAATGGTGGATGGTGCAAAAGAATCTACTGAAAAATTCCCTTGTTTATCCAAATAAGTTTGTAAAGATTTCCTATCACTATCTGTCACTGCTGTATTTACTGACTGAGGAATATTGTTATGCTTTTTGCTTGTCTTCAGGGTCAGACTCAGTGGGTCCATAAGAAAATTTCCTGTAGTGATGCTTGGCTCCAAGCTCTCAACAGGATGTGACCATTTTTTGACAGGAAAATTTACTTTCAGATTTCTTTGAAAATCAGTCAAAATAAGGTTATCTGCTTCGCACATATTTAAAAAGTGCTCCATGTTTGATTTGAAGACTGAAATAAACACATCAGTTTTCAGCTTTGTGTGAGCTATACAAATTGCATCAAAATCTTTGTCTGTGCTCAAACACATGGGTCTTACCTTCAAGCAACTTGAAGATTCTGAGTCATTTATTCCTTCACTCGCCTTAGAACTGTTTTCTTTGGTTACATCCTTAGGATCATGTGTGAGATTGTCCTCAAGGTGTTCATTTTTACTAAAGTTAGATAGGAACTTAATATTAGGTGGATTTCCTTTTTCAGTTAGGTTCTCATCTGGGCAGACTGAAGAAAACAGAGACTCAGTTTTTTCAGGAATGGACTGAAATGCTGATGATCTTAAAGTTCTCAGATTGCGACAGTTATAAGCTGACTGAGCTGTAGTCTGGGATGTGGAACATAGAGTTAACTGTGATTCGGGATACTCTTGATCACAAAACCCTCTCACATGAATAGTGGTATGATTTCTGGAGATGCTGCTGGTCACAGTGTTCCCAGAAAGGCACTTTCTAACTCTCTCTTCCCTTCTTTGGGAAGACTTGCTCTTTGAAACATGAGTTAATGACTTGTAATTTTCAAATCCTAAAGCTTTTCTCTCTCCTGGTTTGTCATATTTTCTTTTGGACAAAAAATGCTTAGTGGAATAATATCGTCTTTCAGGCATAGGATTATAACCTAGAAGATCACAGCTTTCCCAGAAGTTATTGCATATTATTGCATATGATTTGGGTAACGGGCTCTTTCTTGCTTCTCCCACTTTAGCTATAAGCTGCAAAGATGTATGAACTCTTCTATGAGCTTTTTTGAGATGAACAACTGCCCTGTCAAGTTTTCTGGAAAGACGTTTACTTTTGCATAAAGATACTTCACTATTTAGAATATCTAAGACACTCCTAATATGCTTTTCAGACTGTGAAAAGGTTTTAATTCGCCCTTGGGATAATGACGAAAAACATTCAGATGAATCGTGACTATTAAACTTCCTCTTCTTCCTACAAATTTCATGTCTCAGATCTTTTTCTATTATGTTTTGGTCCTCTGAAGATACACGTAGCTTTCTTTTGCTAAGCCTTGAATCTGTGTCCTTTTTATTTCTAGTATTGTCAGTTTTTGGCTTTGTAGAGGAACACGTGCCTTTGTTATTTATTGCTGTGACAGAAGAAGCTTCAGTGACCCAAGGCACACTATTTTGGTGTTCAGACATGTGATTCATATGTCTTTTATGATTCAAGTCAAAAGAATGTGAGATTTCAGATTTACTCACTAGCTCAGATGCATATCTTATGTTACCATATTCCTGTTCACACGCATTACCTGAATTTCCTCCAGAACGTGGTGAATAAATGTCAAGTCCTGAACCTTTTCTGTGCTCCTCATTTATTTTTGTTTTTGTGGTTCCCGTTACGTATCTGCAAAAATTATTGTTCAAAGTAAGGGGTTTGAAAGTAGGGCTGAATCCTGGCATAAGTACATTAGCAATTTTAACGTGTAGATCTGGAAGTAAAATTGGGTCGCCGGTCTCTTCTTGATTTTTTTGCGGAGAAGAATCAAAGCAATCACTTTGCTCATGGTAAAAATGATCACTGTTCTCGTCTCTTGGGAGGTTTTCTAAAACCTCTCTTTCTTCAGTTTTGCTTCCGAATAGGCCTTTCCAATCAATACGAGACTTTAGAATCTCATATGAGTCCCCGAAGTCTTCATATGGTACACTTCCATGGCTAGGAATATCTTGTTGAAATAGAAATTCATCGTCACACTGTTCTAATCCCAGTTCAATCTCGTTCTCCACTTCAAAGTTGTCAAAAACTAGGTCGTTGTCACTTATGGACTGACAAAATGCATTCTGTAATTTATTTTTATCTACATGTAGTTTATAATCAGAAGCCTTATGTTTTATGAACAAATCCAAATCAGGACTCCTAGAAGCTTCTTTTAATTTGTGTCCTTGGTGATCTTCAGGATTTGTGCATAATGCTGGCAGTGTAGTGTCAGTGAACAGTACTGCTGCACTGGAAGCCACATGTCCTAAAGAACCAGCAATTTTGGGCAACATGGAAGACAAAAGTCCTGCATTCCTTTCAGCATTCTGAATATCTTTTTGCTTTATGGCAGATGTGGTAAATTCACTCCCTGAAACTGTCGTTTCTGTTGATACCTTTGTTTTCCATGTCAAATTAAATGTGGCAGAAGATTCTTCAGAATTCAGAGTTTCTACATGGCTATAATTCTTGTTCTCCCTCTTTTTGTCTTTGCTGTTGATGGAATTATTATTGGTATGAAGACCCTGCTTCTCAGCTTCATACACACACTTTATGTTGTCCTCTGGAGGCAAAGCTGACTCTTCTTTAGCCTCATGTTGTTTTTCTTGATCTCTCTGCTCTTTGAAATCAATATTCATGTGTACCTTGTTGTTCAACTGTGCATGACAGAAGAGAGTCTGATCGTGATCTCTACTGTCCAGTTGAGGAATCTCTTGGCAGGCTCTCTGGATATTCTCCAGTGAGGCTGGGTTGTTTTCATTTTTCCTATGGATCCATGGATGTTCTTGAGCTATGTTATAATCCAAATTGTCATGAGCTCTCTTAACATCATGAAGTGAAATAAATTGATCAAATGGTAATTTGTTGGCCTGGTAAATGTCTTTTGCTTCCTGAAGAGCATCACTCATAACACTAACACAGTTTTGATTTGGCTTTTCCAATTTCAGTTCCATTCGTTTTTGAGAAACGGCAGAACTTGTATGAAAGCCATCTTCACATAATGAAGGGTGATGAAGGTGCTTTTGTGAAATGCTCTCCACTCCAGGAGAAAGATTATTTTGAAATTCCAATGCTAGGTGATTTACCTCATAATTATTCATTGTAGTAGATATAGATGATTTCGGTATTTCCAAGTTTTGAGTAATTAATACATGATCACAAATTTCCCCCAAAGAATCAAGACTCATATTTTCTTTACATTCTTGGTGCAATAAAATATAATTATCCGCTGGACTGATTTTTGTTTTCCATAAATTATGTTTTTCTCCATGGTTGAAGTTATCTTCTGGGCTAGTGAAGTTCTTCGTCTCTCCACTATTCTGAAGGTACTCACATACGCTTTTTTTCATTTGGAGTGGAAAAACTGTAGATGCTTGCTTATCAGTCTGTAAATGAGAAAACTGCGATCCCTGAGGGATGGGATCTTCGTTCCCTTGTGTAAAAGTATTCACTGATTCGTTACATGGGTCACTGTCTTGGTCATTTAAAAATGGAATGCTACTTCTCTGCTGGGATCGCTGGGCTTTTTCCTGGTGGTTCTGGTCTTCAACTTCTAAAGACATGTTTGATGAGTATATTGGAAAGGAGTTTTTGTCTTGACAGGTCATGGTAATTTTACTGTAAGTTGTGGAGTCATGGTTCTTAGAGTACATGTCCTGAGCCTGCGATTGAGAAGTGTCAAAAGAAAATTTGAAGCAAGGGGTATCCAAACAATTAGTAAAAACATCATGATCACTAGGCATGGCTTCAGATGAGGAGGCAGAATCAGATGGTACAGATGCTAGACTTATTTTCGAATTATCAAGATTGGAACTCTTCTCAAATGGGAATGTTTCACTTGTAACATTATGTTTCACCAGGTTTTCCTCTCTCCTGGTGAGCCTGGGGTCTTTGATGAGTTTTGAAGTAGTTACTGTACTTGAATTAACATTGCTCTGAAGAGGTATGGCAGTAGAAAGACCCCTTAAAATATTTTTAAGTTGTGTCAAACTTAAGAGGCCACCATTAACACTTTCTTTGTTATCACTGGGAATAACTGATATTCCTGAATCACATGCATATACTTGAGAAGAGTCTTTACAGTCTGTTAATCTGTATTCCATCCATCCATTATGTGTGTCAAGTACAGAATTGTTTCTATTTTGGATATTTCCAAAGGAATTAGGAATATTGGAGTTGGAAGGTTTTATTTCAGAGTTGGGTGTACTGCAGGAACAGTTTTCCTGAGCAAATGCATGTACAGGCTTCCGGAAATGCTCGAAGATGACAGTAGCATCTTTTCCTTTTCCAATTCTTTTGGCCACTGTACAGTTATTCAAAGAAGACGTTCTTTCTGCAAAAACAAAATGAAAATAAGGAAAAAGGGAAGAAGTTTCTATGTTTTTTTTTTGGTTTGTTTGGGTTGGGGGCCATACCTGGCGGTGCTCAAGGGCTGATTCCTGGCGTTATGTTCGGGGATCACTCCCAGTGGGCTTGAGGGACCCAATGGGATGCTGTGTTGGCCACATGCAAGGCAAGCACTTTACCCACTATATTATCACTCTGTTCCTCTACAATTTTATTAATACAAATAAACTGCCAGCGTTGATTCAAACTGAAAAGTCCAATAATTTAATGGTGATCAAAAAAATCTTCTTAAACGGTTAGAGCATTTTCCTTGCATGAGGCTAACCTGGGTCTGATCCCCCGCATCCCATATGGTCCCCTGAGCACCACCAGGAGTGATTCCTGAGTGCAGAGCCAGGAACAACCCCTGAGCATTGCCAGATACGGCCCCATAAAAGACAAAAATGAAACAGAAAAGCCCACCCCCCGCAAAAAAAAAAATCCAAAACCAAACCCATCTTCTTAGAAAAAGCAAAGAGAAGAAAAGGAATTGTAAACCAGTATAAATAATATGAAACTAGTTCTAGTACAGGAACCTTATAGAAAATCCTAATAAAAGTTTTGAATTCTGTGAATTGTATGGTATATAAATTCTATCTCAGAGCTGGAGAGAAGGTACACAGTGGGTAAGGCACCTGTCTTTAATGCAGCCGATCCTAGCTTGACTCCTGGCACTGCTCATGGGTATTGCTAGGGTTGATTTCTAAGGAAGGAGTAAGTCTTGAGCACTGGGTATGGCTCAACTCTCCCAAATCCATAATAAGAAGTTAAGTATCAATAAAACCTTATTTTTGGAATTTTGATAAGCCCTAAGAAATTAAAAAATGAGGGATAACTATGCTGTTCATAGATCAGGAATCAATTAAAATAAGTTGCTGCATTCCGATATTTACTAACAATTTATATGTTGATAGGTAAAATCGTGTCTCTCTTATTGTTACTTGTTCCCCTTCCTTCCTTCCTTACCTTCCTCCATGGAGAACAAAAACGCAAAGGCAAAAGTAATAAGGTTGAGGATTGGGAGAGAAAAAAACAAAAATAAACATAGTGTGCAACTCTCTGTATGTGCACACCCTGACTCAGTCCCTGAAGTTGCACGAAGCCCCCAAGCAGCACCAGGAATGACCGCTGGGCACCGAGCCAGGGACAGCCTGAGTGTGCCTGCCCTCTCCTGAGGGCCCACCAGCCCCATCCCAAGAGATGGCGAAAACCACTGCAGCTCCTCCTACAAAGAATACTGCAAATAAAAACATGGAAAATAAAAATAATTTATATAAGTTTGTGTTTGTATAAAATTCATATATCATATATGAAATTTATATATGATCTATGTAAATTTATATGGGCTGGAGCGATAGCACAGCGGTAGGGCATTTGCCTTGCATGCAGCCAGCCCAGCCAAGCCGGGTTTGATTCCTCCGCCCCTCTCGGAGAGCCCGGCAAGCTACCGAGAGTATCTCAACTGCATGGCAAAGACTGGCAAGCTCCCCGTGACGTATTTGATATGCCAAACACAGTAACAACAAGTCTCAAAATGGAGATGTTACTGGGCCTGCTCGAGCAAATTGATGAACAATGGGAGGACAGTGACAGTGACAGTAAATTTATATAGTATTTTGGGGGGGGCACACCCAGTGGTGCCCAGGGCTTGCTTCTGGCTCTGCAATTATGAACTATTCCTGCCAGTGCTCGGGGGAACATATGGAATACTGGGGATCAAAATCCAAGTCAGCACGCGGCCAACCTGGGTTTGATTTCTTCGTCCCTCTCAGAGAGCCCGGCAAGCTACCGACAGTATCCCACCCTCACGGCAGAGCCTGGCAAGCTCCCTATTGCATATTCGATATGCCAAAAACAGTAACAAGTCTCACAATGGAGGCGTTACTGGTGCCCACTCGAGGAAATCAATGAACAACGGGACGACAGTGCTGCAGTGCTATGAAAAGATGGCTACAATGAAATATTTCTAAACTGTAAGCAGCACTCAAAGTACTTATTATATGCAACAGTGGACATATGAAAGCAAGTAAAGATTTATGCAAATAAAAACGCCAGGCATAGAACTGAGGCCTCACATACAGGCCAGTGCGGTGCTGAGGCACACCTGTGAGCCTAGGATGTGATTCTTAAGAGAGGAACTAGTGCTGACCAAAGGAAAGGAAAGGTGGATATGCATACACTCTTTATACCAAAATAAAATGAAAGTTACTGCAATAAAAGAAAACTGTAAAAATACTGTAAGAGGGGTTACTGAGGTAGTACAGAGGGGCAGGGCACTGTTCGATCCTAGCACTCCATATGGCCCTCTGGGGACCACTGGTAATGATCCCTGGACATAGAGCCAGGAGTATGTACTGAACATCGTCGGGTGGGGCCCAGAAACAAAACAGAAAGATAATAGGGAAAAAAATGGAGAGAGAGCTTTGTGATCTTGGGTAAAAATGTATTTTTTTTAGGCGTGACAGAAAATAGAAGATTAATTTTTTGTTTGATTGATCTTGGGCCACACCTGGCAATGTTCCAAGCACGACTCCTGGCTCGGCACTTAGGGATCACTTCTGGTGGTGTTTGGGGGACAATATGGGATGCTGAGGATTGAACCTGGGTTGGCTGCAGGCAAGGCAAGTGCCCTAGCTTCTGTACTTTCTCTTCATTCCAGATTATTTTAATTACTTTGAGAGTTCAAATTAGACAGTAAACAAACTGGATGGATAAAATGGTGAAAAGCATATTATAACTGAGAAGACTGTAACTGAGGCAGAACATAACTGTATCTATTTTTGAATACTGGAGGAGCGTACACACATACTTAAGACTAATCAAAATCAACATGAAAGTGGGCAAAGTAAATGAATAAAATCATAGATTAAATAAAAAGTCAACAAACACAAAGATGTTCAATGTTAAGATTCCTATTTACAGTAAGATTCATATATTTAAAATTATTTTTAGATTTGCCAAGAATTTGAAGCATACATAGTATTTTGCAAATGTAATCATTTTTTTTCAAATGTCCATGAGAACTATTATCAAAATGTAATATATAATCATCTGCATGCAATAGTCCTTTATACACATTATTCAGTTATACCGATACAAGCACCAAAGTCATCTGTGTAAGAATTTTTAGTACATTAAATAATTCAAGAAAGCAAAAAGCTAAAATCCTAACTTCCTATAAATTCAGCATTGGAAAATAAATATGAAATACCAATAATAACAACAACAGTAAAAGTGCTATGCATGTGTTAAAACAAATACTACAGAGACAGGATATTTTGCAGATACCAGAAAGACCAAGATAGATTATACAGGGGCAGGGTCGGGGCTCAAAAGACTGGAGTATATGTTGAGCATGAACAGGGTCCCAGGCTCACTTTCTGACACAGTGAGCTTGAATTCTGGTGTGCACCCCCTCTACTCTCCAAAAAACACAAATTTTCACAAACCAACATGCGAAAATAAATTTGATCACTTAACTTTTGTAAACTGATAAGTACATATTAATACTGCATATAACAAAATGAGGGGGGTAGCTCTCTTTATCAATTAATTTTTATTTAAATAGTCACCTAATAGTAACAGCTATTGTATAGGATATGAGAGTTTAGCTGATGTTGTGTAACTGTAAATTTTTTTAGAATAAATTTCTAATATGTTATCAGAGGGCTGGAGCGACAGCACAGTGGGTAGGGCGTTTGCCTTGCAAGCGTCCAACATGGCTGACCTGAGTTCGGTTCCTCCGCCCCTCTTGGAGAGCCTGTCAAGCTACGGGCAAAGCCTGGCAAGCTTCCCATGACATATTCGATATGTCAAACACAGTAACAATTGTCACGATGGAGACGTTACTGGGCCCGCTCGATCAAATCGACGAACAATGGGAGGACAGTGACAGTGATGTTATCAGTAAATGTTTGATTTATATACCTCTTTTATATACAGATCTATCTGGGCTCATTTAAAAATTTCTTGGGCAAAAAAGGGGTCACCTGTGGAAGAAGTCTGAACAGCTCCGGGTAACTGTACAGGGAGATGAACATGCTAGTAACACACATGGCTTTGGTTTCGAACACAATATAGGTATTCTCCAAAGTCTATCCCCCTTTACCTACAGAAATAAGCTGTAAGACTATGGACCAGAATGTGGGTAAGGTGTTTGCCTTGCATATGGCAGACTGAAGTTCAATCCCCGGCATCCCACATTTGAGCAATCCCTGAGTGCAGAGCCAGGAGTAATCCCTGAGCACTGCCGGGTGTGACTCCTCAAACCAAAACCAACCAAACAAAAAGACTATGGACAAGTTGAAGTACAAGTGGGTTCATTATCTGTTTTAAACTATCTCTAGTCCATAAACTTGAAAAAAGTACTATGTTGGGAAGGATGCAATTATGTAAACTGATGTAATTGCATAGCTGAAAAAGGAATATTATGTCTACATATATAAGAATGAAAATGAAGCTATGGTTACATATCAAAATGAGAAAAATACACAATTCTAGATGTATGAAACCCCAAATAGGCAAATAATTATTTTCCATAGGAATTTTTTTTTAATATTTTAGTTTTCGGACCACACCTGGTGGTGCTCAGAGGGGACCATGCGGTGCTGGGCTTAAACACAGGCTTCCGGCATTGTTGAACACACATTTGGAACTATTCCCTAGGGCCACAGACTTCTAATATTTAAAAAATACCCGTAAGTTGCGCTATGAGTAAAAATGCTACTGAGGTAGAAGAACAAATGTATTTTACCTGCCCTCTTAGGAAATCCGGTTGAGAGGAATCTCAAAGATGTCATGAGGTGTCCATTATCTTTGTGACCAATAAATTTTACTGTTACTACTGCATAAGGAAGACACTGTCTAGGTTTATCGACTGGCCTTGAAAGAATGCTGTATTCATAGACATACACCTGGAGGGTAAAGAAAAAACATACTGATTAAGGGGCTGTAGTGATAGCACAGTGGGTAGGGTGGGTAGGGTGTTTGTCTTGCACGCGGCCTGACCCGGGTTCGATTCCTAGCATCCCAAATGGTCCCCTGAGCACCGCCAGGAGTTATTCCTGAGTGCATGAATCAGGAGTGGCCCCTGTGCATTGCTGGGTGTGACCCAAAAAGCAAAAAAAAAAAATACTGATTAATATGAGCAGGCTAGAGTTTAAGTTTTCATTGAAAAAGCAGCATAGTACAGCAGGCAGGGCACTGGCCTTGCATGCCGCCGACCGAGATTTGATCCTTGGCACCACCTACAGTCCCCTTAGCACTGCCAGAAGTGATCCCTGAGTGCAGAGCCAAGATTAAGCCTGAGCACCACTGGGAGTGGCCCCTGAACAACAAGAGGGAGAAGCATAGAGCTTCATGATTTACATGCAATATATCTGCTTCCGGGCTGGAGCGACAGCACGACAGCACAGCGGTAGGGCGTTTGCCTTGCACGCAGCCAACATGGCCGACCCGAGTTCAATTCCTCCGCCCCTCTCGGAGAGCCCGGCAAGCTACCGAGAGTGTCTCGCCCACCCGGCAGAGCCTGGCAAGCTCCCCGTGACATATTCGATATGCCAAACACAGTAACAACAAAGTCTCCAATGGAGACGTTACTGGGCCCGCTCGAGCAAATCGATGAACAACAGGAGGACCGCGACCGTGATAATATCTGCTTCCAAACACTCTTACCTACCTGCCTACTTTAGCCTCAATACCTTAGTATTTCTGTTTTTAATGTATTTTATTTACATGTATTTATGTGCATTATATTTATGTGTTTATTTGGCGGTTTAAAAATTGAGCCCAGATCTTCCACCATCTTTTACGCACTCTATCACTGAACTATACATCCCACCACAATCCTAGTATTTTTGAAGATATCTGTGTGTGAGTGTGCATCTGTATTGATGGTGATTGAATTACATCACCAACCAAAATAGACTTTTTTTCCACCAGATTTTTTTTCCCTGATAGGCAATCAATATCAATCAACAGAAGCAGACTCCTCTATTTTTAGATTAAAACTATTTTTTCATTAGAAGCTCAATTAATAAATGCAAAATACTAAACTATTTTATTTCGTAGAAGTTCATTATAAGATAATAGTTTAACGTATCTACATATGGAAAATTACATATTAGAGAAGAATCACATGAAGATAACTGTGCTATATATATAAAATCTAATCTTTTGGAGCGAACTACTAAATGTCTGAATGACATGCAATAGAAAATTACCCTACCACCTAGTGACTAAAAAATAAGCTTTTTTTCTTTCTGCAAAAACAACAGATAGGTAACATTGTTTCATTCATTACAGAGTTCTGTTCAAAAAAGAAGCTGGTATGTTTTATAAGTTAGGAATTAATCTGTGAAAAATCTAATTAAAAGCAACAGTGGTACTTTGAACCAAGTTAAATGTAAATTTGGAAACTTCTTTGCAACATTTCCATAGAAAAATATTAAAACAGCTATCATTATTTAATGTTATATTTAATTGAATGAATTATAAACTTTCATTCAATATTTTATATTCTAATTCTTTTAAAAATCTTGTAAAGGTAAAGGCCCTCCCGTTGATCGTCGATCTTGTATGTGAAGTACGTAACTTCTGAGTAACCAAATGAATTAAGAAGTTTACATACTGCTGAACCGTGGGCTTGCAGTTCAATGGTATCTCTCAGAGAAGGTGTATTTCTTGACATATGGCAATCAAAGTTAGGAGAAGGATCCAGAGAGATTTTGTTTTTATCCAGTGATGGCTGAATTTTCTTCACTTTTCCAAAGAGAACCTAAAAACGAAAAGCAATGCAAAGTTCCAAAATTCATAACACTTCGAAACTCTCGTATTTTTCACAGAAAATGTTCTGTACTACTTTCTTTTGGGGCGAGGGTTCCCATCCATACCTGGTGATGCTCACGGCTTACTCCTGGCTCTGGGCTCAGGGATAACCCCTGGCAGTGCTCAGGGAAACCAAATGGCCTGCCAGGATCAAACTTGGGTTGGCCATGGACTACGGACTGCTGCACTATTGCTTCGGCCCTAAAAACTGACTTATTTAAATACTTCCATCATTATGTATTTTTATGTTTTGGGGGCACACCCAGCAGTGCTCAGGCTCACCAGCTGGGGACCACTCTTGTGGTTCTGGAACCATGGAGTCCCGGGTTCAAACCTGAGCTTCCTACATGCACAGCATGTGCTCCGGCCCTTTGAGCTATCTTCCTTCCCCCTAACTTTTTTAGACGAAATGAAAGAAAAAAGACAATATCCCTGTCCTAGATGAATAGGGTAGCCTAAGGTTGTAATTTTGTCCAGTTTACACCCACATAATCTTCAGAAAATCTATTTGTAGCCTTAAAAACATACATAAAAGACAGGACATGAATAGTTTATAAAATTCTGGAATTTGGGTGGTGGACCATATCTAACCGTGGTTAGGGCTATTCATGGCTGTGTGTTCAGAAGTGACCCTTAGTAGTGCTCAGGAGACGGTGTGAGATACTCAGGGCTCACATCAGGGTCGTGACTGTCAAAGGTGCATGAAGGCAAGTGCCTGTCTCCCCCTCTGGCTCTCTCAGAGGCCCACAGTCTGTAAAATCTTGGGGAGAAAAATCCTTTTCTCTCAAATATCCCAAACCTTCAGATATTAAATACTTTGCTTTTTATTTTTATATTTATTCTTTTGCTTTTTGGGTCACACCTGGCGATGCACAGGGGTTACTCCTGGCTCTACACTCAGGAGTTACTCCTGGCGGTGCTCAGGGGACCATATGGGATGCTGAGAATCGAACCCGGGTCGGCTGCATGCAAGGCAAACGCCCTACCTGCTGTGCTATCTCTCCAGCCCCTTTATTTTATTTTTTATTTTTTATTAGTGAAACACCATGAGGTACAGTTGTAGACTTACAAATTTTTGTGCTAGGGGTAAAGGCAGCTCAGATAGAGAAGGGAGCACCAAATAAAGGGTGTTGAGAAGGTCCGCCCAGGATGGGAGATGCATGCTGAAAGTAGACTACAGACGGAACATGATTGCCACCCAATGTCTCTTCTGCAGACCACAACACCCAAAAGGAGAGAGAGAACAATAGGGAGTGCCCTGCCACAGAGTCAGGGTGGGATGGGGGGATGGGGGGTGGGAGGGATACTGGGATTGGTGGGGGTGGAGAATGGGCACTGGTGGAGGGATGGGTACTCGATCATTGTATAATTAAATACTTTGCTTTTCAAAAAAAGTAGAAGGTTTTGCTCTTTGGGCACACTTGGCAGCGATCCAGTCTTGCTCCTGACTCTGCACTTTGGGGTCACTCCTGGTGGGGCTCAGGGCACTCTGTGGGGTGTGGGGGTCAAACCTGGGTCTGCAAGGCACATGCCCTACTTGCCGCATTCGCCATCTAGTCCCATACTTAGAGTTTTATTAATTTTTGTTGGCTTGTTTCTGGGTCATACCAACTATGCTCAGGGCTCGGTTCTGTGCTCAGGGCTCACTCCTGGTGGTACTCAGGGGTCCATATGCAGTACCAGGGATCAAACCCTGTTTGACTGCATGTTGGGTGCGGACCTCACCCTCTGTTCTATCTGCTGTGCTACATTTTAGAAGGATGGAATTACCACTGAAAAAGCGCCGTGGAAAAAAAAAATCACTGAGCAAAAGAAAAAGCCCAGAAATAAACCCAAGCAGACACAAAAATAGAGCGTAGGGCCCAGGGAGGTAGCCACAGCATATGCTTGTCTTGAGACAGGAGGCTGCGGATGATCACTAGTGTATGATCACGTTTCCCCGAGCACCAGCAGAAGTGACTCCTGAGTATGGAACTGGGAGCAGGCCCTGAACTGCCAGCTGTAGCCCAATTCAAAAAAGCTATAAATATAGTATAATACTACAGACATTACAAATACCATTGAAGTAACTAAAGCAAAACCAAAATATTCAGTCACTGTGGAAATGAAAGAAGGAAATTACCTTCTAAATAAAAAGAATCAAAAGAAATAGTTATTTTTAGTAATGCTAACAGGGCTGGAGCAATAGCATAGCGGGTAGGGCGTTTGCCTTGCACGCAGCCAGCCCAGCCGAGCTGAGTTCGATTCCTCCACCCCTCTTGGAGAGCCCGGCAAGCTACTGAGAGTATCTCGCCCACACGGCAAAGCCTGGCAAGCTACCCGTGACGTATTCAGACGTATTCAATATGCCAAGCACAGTAACAACAAGTCTCACGATGGAGACTTTACTGGGCCCATTCGAGCAAATCGATGAACAAAGGGAGGACTGTGACCGTAGTAATGCTAATATTATACAAACATACGAAAATATATACTCAGTGGATTCTTTTTAAGCATATATGCCAAGATACCATAAATACAAAACATAGTTCACTGCAAATATTCCAAAACTTCTGCACAACAGAACAACTGCTTACATATTCATTTGAAAAAAACCATGAACACATGGGGCTGGAGAGATAGTACAGCTGGCAGGTTGCTTGCCTTGGATGTGGCCAAGCCGGGTTCAATCCCCCGCACCACATATGGTCCAGAGCACTGCCAGGAGTAATTCCTTCATGCAGCACCAGGAGTAGCCCCTGTATAGCGCCAGGTTTGGCCCAAGAACTATTACTGTCAATGTCCTCCCATTGTTCATCCATTTGCTCGAGCGGGTCCAGTAACATCTCCATTGTGACACCTGTTCTTACTGTGTTTGGCATATCGAATACGTCACAGGTAGCTTGCCAGGCTTTGCCGTGCGGGTGAGGTACTCTCTGTAGCTTGCCAGGCTCTCCGAGAGGGGCGGAGGAATCGAACCCGGCTCAGCTGGGCCAGCCGCATGCAAGGCAAACGCCCTACCACTGTGCTATCACTTCGGCCCAAAAACAAGCAAAAATAAATAAATAAAAACCACAAACACAATGATGAAAGATATGGAATATAAAAAGAAGCATAATTTTATTTTATTTATTTTATTTTTTTAAAATTTTTTTATTAGTGAAACACCATGAGGTACAGTTATAGACTTATAAATTTTTGTGCTTGGGTTTCAGTTATACAATGATCAAGTATCCATCCCTCCACCAGTGCCCATCCTCCACCACCATGGGTCCCAGCATCCGCCCCCCCCCGTCCCACCCTGCCTCTGTTGTTCTCTCTCTCTTCTTTTGGGTACTGTGTTTTGCAAGAGAGGCATTGAGTGGCAATCATGTTTGGTCTATAGACTACTTTTAGCATGAAGAAGCATAATTTTAAAGTCAGCAATTCTATTATGCTTTTAAAAATGTTAATATATTCACTAAAAATTAAAAACAGATATTGGGGATACATCTTAGCAGTATAATATTAGATCCGTGTATGGGGTCCTGGGTGCCAAAAAATACAGGAGAAATTAAAAATAATAGAAAATGTAACATGGTATCATCTGTGATTGGACAGAATAAACACTGAAAAACTAGCAGAAGTCAAATCAAGTTTATAGTTTGCTTAATAGTGCTGTTAACTAATGCTTTGTTATTTTATTGACCAAGCTATAATTGACAAGTATAATGTTAGTTTCTTAGTTCTGACAATTTTGCAACAGTTATGTTTAACTGTTAGCATTAGGGGACATTAGGTAAGTTGTATATAGAAATATTCTCTACTATCTTTGTAACATTTATGATGTTAAAAATTATTCAAAATTAAGATTATATTCATCTGGGGAACATAAAATAACATAATGGGAGAATAACACCCAGGAGTGACCGAGATTAGCACCAGGAATTTTGCTCCATGACTTGGAGGCCAGCCACATGTGCTAGGGGAAAAGGAAGCTCAGATAGAGAAGGGAGCACCAAATAAAGGGTGTTGGGAGGATCCTCCCAGGATGGGAGAAGCATGCTGAAAGTAGACTATAGACCGAACATGATTGACACTCAATGCCTCTTTTGCAAATCACAGGACCCAAAAGGGGAGAGAGAGCAAAAGGGAGAGGCAGGGTGGGATGGGGGAAATGGGAGGTGGGAGGGATGCTGGGACCCGTGGTGGAGGATGGGCGCTGGTGAAGGGATGGGTACTTGATCATTGTATAACTGAAACCCAAGCACAAAAATTTGTAAGTTTATAAATGTACCTTGTGGTGTTTCACTAATAAAAAATTTTTTAAAAATTATTCAAAATTATAAATTGAAATACACTGCATAAATTCACTGATACAATTTCTTGAATTGCCTATGTAGAACACTTAAAAGTCAGCAATAACTCAGCATTTAAATCTCAGCAATTAAAAGTGTAAAAACTGAACCACAATGAAAAACTATTATATTGGACTGAGAATGATTTTTTAAAAAGGTTACACATAATTGGGGTGCGAAGTAACAGATATCCCCAGGCACCGTGCACAGAAATACCAATTGCACAACCTTCCTCTGGCCAACTTGGCATTAAGCATCGAAGCCATGAAACAGACTGTTGATTCCCAACTGGACAAGTAGGAATTAACCAATTAATTCTTAGCTAATAATCACTGTGCAGATAAATATATACTTACAATATGATCAAGAACAAATCCCCAAACAACTGGTACTGCAACACTAAAAACTGTTACTTGCTTTTCTTCCTTTTTTATTTTTAAATTGAATCACCGTGAGATACTTATAAAGTTGTTCATAATTGGGTTTCAGTCAATGTTCCAACAGTCATCCCTTCACCAGTGTGCATTTCCCATCACCAATGTTCCCCGTATCCCCCATACTTGTGGCAAGCTTCCAACTGTGGGACAGTCCTCCTGGCCCATTTTTTCTGTCCTTGAATATTAGTCTCACACTATGTTCTTTTTTTTTAAAGACTCATCTCATGGTTTTTTTTGCTTTTTGGGTCACACCCAGCAAGGCACAGGGGTTACTCCTGGTTCTGCACTCAGGAGTTACTCCTGGCGGTGCTCAAGGGACCATATGGGATGCTGGGAATTGAACCCGGGTTGGCTGCGTGCAAGGCAAACGCCCTACCTGCTGTGCTATCTCTCCTGCCCCTCATCTCATGTTTTTAAAATTTTTATTTATTTATTGTTGGCTTTTTGCGCCACACTTGGCAATGCTCAGAGGGGTTACTCCTGGTGGTGCCTGGGGGACTGTATGGGATGCCACAGGGATCGAACCCAGGTTGGCCACGAGTGCAAGGAAAACACCCTCCCTGCTGTACTATCACTCTAACCCCATACTACTTTTTTTTTATATATCCTGCAAATGAGTATTATGTCATTATACGCCTGTTTTCTATGTCCTTTTCCTTTTGACTCATTTCACTTAGCATGATATTCTCCACCCACCTAGCTCCCTTAAACACGTATCTCACATTTCACTTGCTTGTCTCTATAAAACTATGCTTGACTTTTCCACGATCCTGAAGACATACTCCCCCCTCCCCTTGCCCCTGGATCTTTCTAAGCAAACTTCATTCAATGAAAACTACCATGCGTGAAAACATGTTATGTGACTGGGGAGATGGCTCAAAGGGCGCGTGCTTTGCATGAGGAAGTGCTGGATTAGATCCCCAACATCATATGGTCCTTGAGGACTGTCAGGTGTGGTCCCAAAACAAAACATTTGGTTCATTAAAGTATTTAAAAGGGGTGAGGGGATGGGGTGTGGGGGTGAGAGGGCTACTGGGATCATTGGTGGTGGAGAATGGGCACTGGTGGAGGGATGGGTACTTGATCACTGTACGGCTGAAACCCAAGCACGAAAGTTTTTAAGTCTACAAACTGTACCTCAGGGTGTTTCACTAATTAAAAAAAAAGTACTTAAAAGAAGTGTATACTGCTAGCTGAAGAATGGAATACTACTATGCAGTCATTCAATGTAATAATACACAGTATCTTAATATGTCAATATTTATGGTATAAAATGCTTTAAAATAAATGAAAAGAAGTTATATGACACATAAAGAACTTATTTTAATCATAATTACAGATGAAGACCTATACAAAAAATAGAATTACGGATCGTTACTTGGTTGGGAAAAATTTTTGATGCATTCTGAACTTTATAAAATAGTTTTATTATTTTTTCAAGTAAATTATACCGGGACCAGAGAGATGACCCAAAAGGTTGCGGTGGACGCTTTGCATGCAGGAAGCCCGGGTTCCATCCCTGGCACCCCCTGGTCCCGAGCACTTCCAGGAGGGACACCAAGCAGTGAGTCACAGACAGTCCCTGAGCACCCCTGGGTGCACGGCTCCCAAACTGACAAAAACTAACAAAAATGAATATGATGAACTTCATGATATTAATCAATTTGTTAATGTTTACGCTTCAATTATACTGAAGTTGTATTTTTACTTCTGGATAATTTTCAGGTCTTCAGGAAAGCTGTGAAATTAGTTCTGAGGTCCTGTATGCTTATATCCAGTTTTCCCCAATGGTAGCATCTTACATAATCATGGGGGAAATCATCAATACTAAGACATTAACATTGTAAAACTACTCAGTTCACATGAGGAGTTCAGGAACTGAATTTTAAGTCAGAATTATGATAACCAATGGTCTGAAGGACATTTAAACAACAGACACATGATTTGGACAAAAAAGAGAGAACATCAATTCTAAGGAAAATATATATATATATTACAAAGGTAAATACAACATAAACTGCTTTTGCTTCTTTTTGGGGGGGGCACTGGGGATATGGCCTCCCCAGCAGTGCTGGGAACCCAGAGGCAACTCCCTGAAACACCTGGCCCAGCAGCCTGACCCCTGGCATGGCTTTCTGAGAGCTACGCACACCCAAACAGTCAGAAGTAGATGGAAAGTCTGAATGATGATAAGAGCAATAAGTTACTATTTATCATATAAATACTAATTCTCCATATTATAAATAAAATCTGTTTAGGTCAATTTAAAGAGAATAAAATATACTTAACATGTTTAGACCACCACCTACCTTAAAAATTATGATGTTTTCTACAGTAAAGCTTCTACTGTGAGCATAGTTTAAGGCAACATCAACGTGTCTAAACACATAAACTCCAAGAAGAGGATTTCCTAACATTTTCAAATGAGATGCTTTGGTGCTTAATCCATTCTTATATATCTCAGCCACATTACTCTGAGAAAGAGCTAAAAAGCAGAAATGTTCTTCAAGTTCTCTTGCATGCCTTCCATTCTCACGCATCTCGGACCTAAAGCAGAACAGTGTGTGAATTAAGAGTGCCAACAAGAGTAAGCCCCAAGAACCCCTGGTTGTGCCTCCCCCACCCCAAAACTGGAAGGGAGTATCTGAAATAATGACTACATTAATGTGAAAAATTAACATTAAACATTACTTATTCTCTATTACACATGGTTAAGAAAGTTATAAAGGTCAGAGATAGTACAATGGGTAAGGCGCTTGCCTTACACGTGGCTGACCTGGGTTTGATCCCTTGCGTCCCATATGGTCCCCCAAGCTTGCCAGGAGTGTAGAGCTAGGAGCAACTCCTGAGCTTCATTGGGCGTGGATCCCCCCCCCAAAAAAAAACCAAAACAAAAATAGAAAGGTGAAAAAATTGGAATAAACCAATGACATTTATTTTCTTGTTAATACCAAAGTGCAAATGGTAGAAATAAATTCCTGTAAGGCATCCATAATTACCACACCATATTTGATGGGGTTCAGACATTAGGCAACAAATCATAGAGTGAAAATATATAATATCTATTACTTTATATATATATATACATATATATAAAATATATGCCTCTCAAAGAGCCTGGCAAGCTTCCGAGAGCATCCCGCCCACATGCCAGAGCCTGGCAAGCTACCCATGGCATATTCAATATGCCAAAAACAGTTAACAAGAACAGGTCTCATTCTCCGTACCCTGAGAGAGCCTCCAATAAGGCAGCGTTGGAAAAGACGAGTAAGGAGAGGCTGCTAAAATCTCAGGGCTGGGACGAATGGAGACGCTACTGGCACCTGCTTGAGTAAATCGATGAACAAAGGGACGAAAGTGATAGTGATACAGAAGGCTCCAAAGGAGAAGTGCACGGTAGCATGGTAGCACAGTCCTCCCGTTGTTCATCGATTTGCTCAAGTGGGCCCAGTAACGTCTCCATCATGAGACTTGTTGTTACTGTGTTTGGCATATCGAATACGTCAAGGGTAGCTTGCCAGGCTCTGCCGTGCGGGCGGGATACTCTTGGTACCTTGCCGGGCTCTCCGAGAGGGGCGAAGGAATCGAACCTGGCTCTGCCGGGCCAGCTGAATGCAAGGCAAATGCCCTACCTCTGTGCTATTGCTCCACCCCAAAGGAGAAGTGAAAAAAACAAAAATTTCAAGTTTCCCATAGGTCATGGTAACTCACCTCTTAGAAGTAAATTTTTTTTCTAGATCCTTATTGTGAACGAGTTTTGTGTCTCCAAACTGCCATGAGAGCTGCAGGTCACAGCTTATATCAAGTCGGCTCTGGTTCAGGGTATCACGGATGAAACTGTACTCTCTAGTATTGGTGTAACACGGTGACAAGTAAACTGAAGAAAAGAATAAAAAGCAGTTTATGTTTACAAATGACATTGTTGTAAACCTGGGGCTGCCCTGGCACAGTCGCCAGCACAAGGGACTGAGCTAGCAGTCTTGGCTTGCAAGATAGGTGAAGTCACTGAGGGAGCTCCCAGGGCCCACCGCAGATGCGGTGTCAGCTTAGAAGCACTAGAGCACATCTGAGCATTACACGGTGGGGGCCCTCTAAACAGGACAACCAGCAGCAACAATGCAAGAAGCACAGGTCTAGATGAGGAAACGGACACATCTTTAACAACAGGAGCACCAGAAGGAGGAGTGTGTATCTCCCCTCAGCGGGGAAGCTGAGTGTGGAGTGACTCACATTTCACACCATTCTGCAATGCCCGTCGGTGGCTATGAAAATACTGAAGTGGTTTGTGGGTCATGAACAAAGGTCAGCAAACGAGAGAGATCGCCGATGTGGAACTCAGGAGTGATGAAGATCAACTATATATAATACACGCTTGAAGGCAACCTCCAGACACATGGAGCCAACAAAAACAGTAATTCTATTATTTTAGAAACTATTTAAAATTTTTTTTTATGTAGGAGTACTACTATTTATTCAGCCACGGATTAGCTGATTGAATTGTGCATGAACTCCACCTTACCTTTTTTTTTCATTTTTTATAATTTATTGAATCACCGTGAGAGCAGTTATAAAGCTTTCGGGTCTAAGTCTCGGTCATGCAATGAAACACCTGTACCTTCACCAGTGCCCATTCTCCACCACCAAAATCCCCAGTATACCCCCATCCCACACCCTCCCCCTACCTATGGGGCAGATGATTTCCACATTACTCTCTCTCTACTTTGATCAAATTCAATATTTCGACACCAGACCCACCATTATTATTTGAGATTTTACCCCAACACTCAGATCTGCTGTAAAGGCAACAGTAGACAATTTGTGTTCTATTGCTGGTTATGAATAACGTATGTTGCTGGCTGCAATAGGGCCATGTGATTTTGAAATTCCAGAATTTTACCACTTAAATCTGGAGGGATTTCTGCCAAAAGCCACTGGGTTTCGAGATTTGCTCCTGAGTCTCTGGATCATGGCCATTGAGCAGCTTGATCAGGAGCCAGAGAGACTGTTCGTGGGTGATGACTTGGAGTCTCGTTGGGACGAGGAGACCAGGACCTGCCCACCCCCATCCTGTGAGGCACAACAAATTTTGTCACTGCGGGCCCAGATCTGACTGTCCAATGGCGTCTGGAGGATGACGGCCACCGAGCCGTCAAGGGGGAGCAGGCGGAGGGACAATACCCTTTCCCCCCTGCAGTGGCCCGGTGACAGTAACCTACTGCGGGGTCCGGACGCATTTCTGCCAACAGCCACTGGGTTTCAAGATTTGTTTCTGAGTCTCTGGGATCATGGCCATTAAGCGGTTCAATCAGAAACCAGAGAGGCCATGCCTCCAATTATATAGCTGAGCCGGAGGTGGTTTGTGGGTGTGTTTCCCACATACCTAACTTTTGGCCGTTTATTTTCTTGGTAAACTTTACCCCACATTTTTGAGGTCTAGCCAAAGGCACAGCAGCAATTTTGGGGTATCTGGAAGTCTGACAGCGCCATCAGGCTGCTGATGCACTTGCCTCACAAGTACAGATTGACCTGCTGGCAGGACCATAGCCCCAGTATTTAAATTTTTTAAATTAAAGTAATGCTGGTTTATTGCATGCAATTTTGAAGAATGTTCATACATATTCAAAGAAGCTCATACTTCTTTGATTGCATGTTGTCACAATATGCTTACCAATGACATATCAATACCCTCCGCCAGAGTCTGTTAGACCTCCGCACCCGACTCTGGCAAACTCAGTTCTACATTCAGAAATCAAGGCTGGTTTTGGTTTGGTTTTGTCTGTCCTCTACTTGAATGATAGTTCTTCATATTTATCAATAGGGTGCATTAATAACAGCAAACCTGATATAAAATATTACCAGCTGATTTTCAAAAATAACTCTTGTCTTTGTCCCTTTCCATTTAAAACTTTTTTGTTCTAAATACAATTTTTGCTTTAACATTAGAACTTCTAATTATTATAAAACTTTCCCCTTTTTTCTTGCATGTGGGGTCCACACCAGCGATGCACAGTAGTTACACCTGCTTCTGCCCTCAGGAATTACTCCTGGGAGCGCTTGGGGCACCATATGGGATGCCAGGTATTGAACTCAGGTTTGGCTGCATCCTACCTCATATACCCCAAAACTTAACCCTTTCATAAGACAAACAATTTGGGTCTGTGGCCTTTATTTGAGAGCTTAGTTCGAAATGAGTAAGGACTAGTAAGAATTTGTAGAGATATACAGAGAAGTCCTATATATCCTTGACTCAATTTTCTGAGTGGAAACATTTTCCTCAATTATAATAGAGTATCAAAATCAGAAAAACCCATAGACCTTATTAAGATCTTGTCATTTTATGTACTCTTGTGAAAGCCTACATAACTTAATGCGATTTTATCATGTGTTCACTGAACCATCACTATAATTGCGAACCCAGGACAGTGCCAGAACCAGGAAGACCTCTCTGTGTTAGTTCTTTTATACACAGTCATACTGGATGACCCCATTCCCCCTCTCTGCCTCTCCCTCCTGGAAACAACTAAACTTCTTTCTAGTTAGGATTCATCTCTCTAGTTAGGATTTCAAAAATGCTTTCGACATGAAATTTTGTACTCTACCTGTGGAGAAGGGCTGTGTTTATTCAGCATATTCCTTCTGAGATCAAACCACACTTTTTAAAACCAGTGTATGCAATCTTTCTGTTGCTATGTATGGGTCCACCCAAGTTTAATCATTCACACAACGGAATTCTGAATGGTTGGCAATTCTTGGGTATTGCAAATGAAGTTGCAATGGATATCTTCCATGCTTATGCAAGCTTAAGTTAGCATCTGGCAGAAGAAATGCCCCAAGTGCAAGTACTATGTCACACGGCACGTGCACACTTTAGTTTTCAAAGTCATTACCAAACTGTTTTTCAATTAGTTGTTTGGAATAAGTGTGCTGTCATATCTCACTGTGTTTTTGTTAATATTTCCTACTAGTTATGCTGTCTTTTTATGTCTTTGCACATCGTCACTAGTGAAATGTATGTTCAAGTTTTATTTCCTATTTTCTAGTTGGACTGCCCTCTTTTCTTACGTGAGTTTGGAAACTGCTTTTATATTTTAGCAGGGTGTTGTCAAATACTTCATTTCTAAATGCTTTCTTCCATTCTTAGCTTGTTTTTCACTATCAATATTTCAAAGACTAAGATTTTTTGATGAAGTCCAATTTATCTAATTTTGACCGTGCTTTTGGCATCACATCTAAGAACTCTTGAAGTCTTGAAAATGTTATCCTATGGATTCTTCCAAAGCCGCAATTAGCAATGCTCAGGGCTTACCCTTGGCTCTGTGCTTAGGATTTAGACCTGGTGGGGCTCAGGGAACCATATATGGTGCTGGGGATCAATCTTGGGTTGGCTTCATCTAAGGCAAAAGCCTTATCCTCAGTACTCTCTGGCACATTTTAAATTTATTTTTGTAAAATTCTGAAGTATTTTTTTTGCTTATGGATGTTGTCCAACTGTTCTAGCAACATCTGATGAAAATATCAACATTTTATCTACTGAATTCTTTTGCTTGTTGAAAATGAATTAGAAAGAAATCAATGGAACATACATACGTGGGTCTATTTCTGAAATCTGTTCCACCTATCTAACATTCTACCACTCCTGCTAATGCCACATTGCTGTGGTCACTGGAGAGAATCTTACCACTGGGTCGAGTAATTTCAAACACTTTCCTCTACTTCAAAAATGTTCTAGATTTTCTAGTTTGTTGCCTTCTCATGTAAATTTGAGATTAAGTTGACTTAGAGAAAACCCTGCTGGATTTTAAAAGGGCTTATGATAAATTTACAGAAAGATTTATGGAGAAATAGCATCTTCATTGAGTTCTCTAATCCAGGAGCATAGAACACTTCTCCATTATATTTGATTCTTCAGCATTGTGTAACTTTAAACATGATTTGAATGTGCGTGTGTTTTTAAATACTTATATTTAAGTATTCGGTGATCTGAGCTATGGGAGGAAAAGAGACTGATCCTGGCTGGGAAAAGGAATGATTTTCCTACTAGTGAGAAGGGATGAATCACCGTCACAGGGAAACTGAGAGGCTCCAGGGATGTGATGGCATGAAGGGGAGAGGCCATTTCACCTCTGTTGACAAAGGAATCACTGAGGACTGGAGAGGGTTCAAGGGGCTAAAACTAGAATCTGGGAATCCCAGTGTTCCTGACACTATATGGTTCCACTGAATACTGCCAGGAGTGATTTTTCCAACCATGAGCACCATGCAGTGAAAAAGCACTACTGGGTATGAACCTTCCCCATAAGAAAATTCAGCCCCCTGAAGGTGTAGTTTATATTACACCCTCATCCCCTTGCCACCCATCAGTGTCTACTATCCATCAGATTCCTGTCTTTTTAGAAAGACCTTTGCCCAGTCCTAAGTCCAGGAGCCAGTCCCAGGATTCCTGGTTCACCAGGAAGGACAGCTGAATGATGGGGCAAGGGTGCCAAGGATAACCTTGAGGACCTCCAGAACTACGCCCCGTGATGCCTGAATGGGATACATGCTGCGGGAACTGGACTGGGTGTGCCCCAACTCTTCTAACTATCCCACAGGCTCCAACCTAGAGGTTTTTCTTATGGATCTTTTTGTGTCTGTGTCATTTAGGATGTGGTAAGTACGTTCAATCTGACACAGTGATGAAACAGAAAGAAAGCCCGGAGAACTCATTATTATGTCATTCCTTGCATTCCAGGGACTCAAGTTGTTCATCATTTCTCCACCTTTCGAAGTCTAATGTTATGTGTGACATTCAGCATTTTTAGGTACATTCAGTAAAAGGGAAAAGAAGCACACTATTATTCTATTTTGTGTAAAGGTAAAAGGTAAAGGCCCTCCCGTTGATCGTCGATTTGCTCGAGCGGGCCCAGTAACGTCTCCATTGGAGACTTTGTTGTTACTGTGTCTGGCATATCGAATACTCTCGGTAGCTTGCCGGGCTCTCCGAGAGGGGCGGAGGAATCGAACTCGGGTCTGCCATGTTGGCCGCTTGTAAGGCGATCGCCCTACCCGCTGTGCTACCGAACCACAAATACATGGGGGTTTAAAGAACTAATGGCTGGATTACATTTAATTTTATATGGAATCAAAATGAAAGTGAATATAAACTGAGAATTAGAGGAAAGCAGGAACAGTTACAAATTAGCTCCATCTTTCAAAGATACATTACCTTTCTCAGTTGTCCGTTTAATCTTAGGGATAGTGAATTTCTTCAGAGAATTGACTTCTGCACCAGTAACAAACAGAGGTTCACTGGTTGGGTTCATTTTCCATAGTGTCTTATGTCGAGAAATATCTTTCATTTCCATTTTGTTGGTGGTCTAAAATCAACCCAAAGATATTAAGCACAAGAAGTCAATAAACACAAGTCAATGAAAGTAAAATCAGTTAAACATTCTTATATTAAACACATAATTTTGGTCACACTCAGAATAGGTTTCAATCTCCATCAGGTTACCCAAAAGAGAAAGTAAATGAACACTTTGGCTTTTATATAATATTAAAAGTAATTATTTTGTAGTTTCTAATAGACCTTTCCTTATAATTCATGTCATTGTATACATCAGCCCAAAGTTTTTGTGTTTGAAAAACTGAGTAGCTGGAGGTTTACTCCATGGCTTGGAGGCGAGCCGCACATGCTGGGGGAGAAGGCAGCTCAGATAGAGAGGGGGAGCACCAAGGAAAGGGTGTTGGGAGGATTATCCCAGGATGGGAGAAGCATGCTGAAAGTTGACTATAGAGTGAACATGACTGCCACTCAATGCCTCTTTTGCAAACCACAGCACCCAAAAGGAGAGAGAGCACAAAAGGGAATGTCCTGCCACAAGGGGTGGGGTAGGATGAGGGGGAGTGGGGGGATGGGAGGGATGCTGGGAGCATTGGGAGGAGGGGAATGGACACTAGTGGAGGGATGAATACTCAATCACTGTATAACTAAAACCTAAGCATAAAAAATTGTAAGTCTACAATTGTACCTCATGGTGTTTCACTAATAAAAATTTAAAAAAAAAACTGAGTAGCTTCCAATTTTTAGTATTTGGTATAATTCTTGCCAGACTCTTTAAAAATATGTTTGGGACCAGAGTGATAGAATAGCAGGTATAGTGCTTGCCTTGCATGTGGGCAACCTGGGTTTGGTCTCTGGTACCCCGTGTAGTCCCCTAAGCACCACCAGGAGTGATCCCTGAACGCAGAACCAGGAGTAAGCATTAAGCAGTGCCAGAAGTGGCCCCAAAACAAAAAACTTTTCTACCCCATATACGCCTACAGCTCGAATGACAATATTTCAAATATCTTTTAAAATCAAATTATAGACAGCTATGAAGTCCAGGGCTTCATGCATGCAAGACAAGTGCTTTATACTTAAGCCATATTCCTGATCATCTAAAAGCACTTTTAAGCTTTGGGAGAAATTATGAAGGCCAAAAGCAGTCAATTGCTCAATGATTATTATTCTATAGTATCACTCTACAGATAAAAAGTAACGAACAGAGTCTTTCTCCTGCCTCCTACCTCCACCCTTTACACACATACACAAATTCTTAACCTTTAAGTTGAATTCAAACAGGACACCAAAAGTTAGATATAGAGCCAACAAAAAAATTTTTTTTTTAATTTCATAGTATGGTTTATCAACTGCTCAGCCCAAATATTAGATCACAATCCACTGAGCTGTCGACATTCCACGGATGGGTCACAGAGGGTAAGATTCTACAGAAGTTCCATCAATGACTTCCCCCAGCACACTGCACTCCAGTGAAATATGGTCGTACAATTTTCCTGTTAAACAGGGAATGCACAGAGACCCTAAGAAAGAAGCGAACAGTCTTTTCACCTAGCTACACCCGTACACAGTAGTGGTACCGCTTCCAGCAAGAGAACTCTTAAGATTTAGCAGCTCCACAATAGCCGTCAGGACTGCCAAGCTCATCTAGAAGTTCAGCAAGGAGGAAAGGGAGATGAATTTACCATAACAAATTCCAAAAATCTCATCAATCATCATGCATTCCTACCGCACACAATCATCTTACAATATAATGAATATGCTTTGTTTCAAGAACCAAGTGTTAACCTTGATAGCCTGCAACTTCTGTTACATTTTCAGGAAAGTTGTGTAAGATTTCAATGAGACAGAGATTGAACAAGATCAACTGCACACAAGGCAGGGTCTTAATCACTGGTACATTTTATTGAAGACATAATGCTATGACAGACTTAATAGAGTGTAGTATAACTCTTTCATACAACAGGAAATAAAATATTAATGTCTTTCTGCACTGTGGTAGTTTTGACCCAAACCTGAAATATATCAATGTATATCAGCATGCAAATATCACCAAGGAATTTTTTTCAATGCTCTGCCAAAATTTTACATTAATAATCTTGCTAATTTACCTTTTACTTTTTGTTTTTTTGGGCCACACTCAGTGTGCTCAGGGCTTAACCCTGGCTCTGAGCTCAGTGACCACTCCTGGTAGGATTGGGATGCCAAAGATTGAAGTGTTAGCTCTGTGCAAGGCAAGTGTTGAACCCACTGTACTATCTTTCTGGCCCTTTCTTTTTTTTGGTGGTGAGTGCTACCAGGTGGTGCTCAGGTACTCCTGTCTCTATGTTCAGGGATCACTCCTGGCTGGGCTCTGCAGGACCACGAGATGCCAGAGATTGAAGCTGGGTTGGCCATGTGCAAGCATCTTACCAGCCGTACTACTGCTCTGGCCCCCTTTAGCCTCTTAAAGAGAAACAATGCCTTAGTTCCAGAACTTCATAGCAAATAACACTGTTAACGGATTTTTACAATTAAAATTTTAATTGTACCAAACAATACTGATGGTTCATCTTAATCCCAAATGATAACTAAACTAAAAACATCTATTTTAAGATAGTAAATAAATCACTCTAATAATGGTATTCAGGTAAAGCAACGATCATCCTTCTAGGAATTTCATATTTCCTGAGGAATAAATGGCATTTAAGATATATCCTTAGGGGCTGGAGCAATAGCACAGTGGGTAGGGCATTCGCCTTGCATGGGGTTGACCCGGGTTCGATTCCCAGCATCCCATATGGTCCCTTGAGTACCTGCAGGAGTAATTTCTGAGTGCAGAGCCAAGAGTAACCTCTGTGCAACATGGGTGTGACCCAAAAAGCAAAAAAAAAATATATATATCTTTAGAGTTTTAATAAACATATGAATTGAGTTCTTAATGGAGGACACCAGGAATTACTTTGCATAATATTAAACCAGGTAAATATGACAAACTTTATTTATATTTAGATTAAGAGAAAAGTCCTCCAGTTATGTCTGTACAATGTAGAAATGTACAGACATTTCTGTACATTCTCCCTTTATTTTCTAGGTTAAGTTGCCTGTTGGGCAACTCTAGCTCCCTCACTTGTTTTTGTAGGATTCACTACAAAATGACAGGGGAAAATCCAAGTATTACTTCATGTCATTAAAAACAACAGCAACAACACAGGTATCAGGGAAAGAGCACCGAGAGCAAGTGCGGTTTCAACCTTTTGACACCTGCAGACCGTCACCTGTCCATTAAACCAGTGCTTGGACCAACCATTCTAACCTCAGTGGTAGGTTCAGGGGATTCTGACCTTCTACACCTGTTGACTGGCACCTCCTTGGACCAGTGCCCAGGCTTAGCATGCAGGAGGTGAGGGTTCAACCCCCAGCACCATAGGGTCCCTTGAGCATGTCCAGGATGGAAGACGAGCAAAATGCTAGTAGTAGCCTCTGAGCATAGCTGGGTGTAGCCCCAACCCCTCACCCCCCCACAACACACACTTCAGATTTAATGGTTCACTGTCAGTTTTATTCAACTATAACTACATACATTTATCCATAGTCTATGCTGAGCTCCTATTAGAAAATCTCAATTTAAGAGACTCAATAAAGGACTCAGGGCCTGCCCATAAAAATACTTTTACCCTCTTGGCTCCATACAGGAAAAAGCCTGCTAATCTGTTACTGATAAAAGAAATATGCATAAAATAGTTGGGGTAATAAAATAATGTCTCCTGATTCACATTTCAGGGTTCTTGTTCCCACCCGCCTTTTCTCAAATACCTCTACACAATATTCTAAGATTCATTCCTGCCCACTTTGCTTCTCTGTATTCTGCCCAAGGGTGTTTAAACAGGCTAAAACCTCATCTCTGAAAGACAAAATCATAATGTGTCAGGGTTATGCTTACTCTTATTTAGATCACCTCCCAGGCCCTCCACACTCTACTCTGATTTCATTACTCTACCTAAAAAGCGAACTTTAGCCAGGAGTTTCCACACCTACCTCTCTCGCACACAAGAACTTTTATGGGTTATAACTAACTTGGCCTACTATGATGCCTTTGACCAATATGTTCATTAAGTAACAATTTTCTGACTTATGACGTCACAATGCTGAGTTTACAGCTATTTCACAGGTGGTACTTGCTAATCTCTTAACTCATCATTCTCCACCTGGCCTTTATAACTCTTTTAGCTCATTTTTACTTATGTACCCAAAAAATGAAAGTCTAAGAAAATGATTAATATTTTATCAAATTAACCTGTGTAAATGAAGACAAGAAACTCAATGTTTCACCCGCATCATTTTCATTATTGATGGAGTCATCTTCTTTGTTTTTTCCTGTGCATCATTAATTTATTAATCTCTTTCTCCACTATTTTCTTGTTTGCTTATTTCTGTTTTGGGCCACATCCAGCTGTGCTCAGAGCTCACTCCTGGCTCTGTTCTCAAGCATCACTTCTGGTGCAGCTTAGGGAAATACACAGGCTGCCAGGGCTTGAATCTGGGTCTGCCACGTGCAAGGCAAGCACCCTACTCACCGTACTATCGCTCCGGCTTTTTCCTCCACCGTTTTAAAAAGGTAAGAGAGGAATTTTTAGCTGATGATCTTAAAGAATTTCTGTTTGTATTTTGGGCCACACCTGGTGGTGTTCAGGATTACTCCTGACTCTGCAATCAGAGATTACTCCTGGTAAAGAGAGGACCATATGAGATGCCGGTGATCAAATCTGGGTTGAACGTGTGCGAGGCAAACACCCTACCCGCTGTACAATCTGGACCCAATACCCAGAATTTCAAAGATGATAATACTGGTATTTCAAGCCAGTGAAAAAAGTACCTAGCCATGTGGAAAAACACAAAGTTGTAACTTTACTCTTTATACCTAAATTAATTCAAAATGAAATTATTCATTTAAAAATGAAACCATGGACCAAACATCTGGATATGAACGTTGGACAAAACACCTGAAAAGATACTGAAGAGGACAATAATTATATATAAAAGATTTCA